TTTAATTTTTTTCTTTTTTTCCTTTTTTTTTTTTTTTTTTTTTTTTTTTTTTTTTTTTTTTTTTCTTTCTTAATCAAAATGTAATGTGTATGATGATGTACAATAGAAGATTTTTTTATTCTTTCTCATAAAAGAGGAAAAAAAACATAGAGTAGAATATTTGACATTGACATTATTTTTAGTCAGTTTAGATTCTACATAGATTTTTATGATAAGGCGATAAATAGATTTTGTGTTTTTATTTTTATCCTAACAATAATGAATCAAACAAAAAATAAAAATAAAAATAATAAATCAAAGAAAAATAAGTATTATGTGTTTTTTATGATGATAAAGAAAGAAAAGATTACTTGAAAGTTAGTGAATAAGGAACGACCTTCACCAGGACATATTTATATATATATATATATAAATCTCATAGAATTTCATTGACTTTTCTTTTTTTATTCTCTAAGAAATTATCTAATCAGAACAAAATTTATATTTTAGTTTTCGAAAGAAAAATTCTTTTATATTTCGATGATTGTCTTCGTCCAGTTGAAGGTTTTTATCGATGACATAATAACGTCCTTGAAGAGCTGGTGTACTCGTGCTTTTAACAAACGGCCTTGTTCGTTCTTCGTTTTTTCTCATCGGCGCGTCATGCGCAAACAATTCTTGAGCTCAAGGCCAAGCGACGCGCCACAGAATAACATCGATTCATGTTCAAGGTCGCAGATAAGAAATTCATAGAAGATCTCATTTCTTCAAAATCTTCTTCGTTTTTCTTTTTCTTTTTCTTTTTTTTATTAAAATTAAAAAACAGAAACTGTTTGACTTACTTAATCAACGACGACCGAAAATAATTCGTTTTTTATTTTTGACTTAATTACACATATAAAAAAAAATTGGACGAAAAATGTTGAATATCGATAAAATGATATGAAATCGTTTGTAATTACATTTATTAATCTAGAAAACACGGTATTCAATGGTTGAATCTAAGAATATTTTTAGGATACAAAAATTTGCTTGACCTTGTCATTCAAGGACAGCAAAGCTCGACAACAACTACATAGGACGTATGAGCGTCGTCACTGCTAGCGGCTCGCAGACGCCGACAGTCCTTGAACAAGAACGACAGCGGTGTTGGTGGTGGCAGTCAACGACGGAGAGGGAGAGAGAGAGAAAAACCGTCTTTTGGAGAGACAGCTTGTTTTGCTTTTCTTCTCTCATTTTTTTTTCTCTTTTTCTATCAGCAGTGATGAAGGGAAAAGAAAAAAAAGAGGCAAGACAAGACTATATCGTTGCCTGACTCTCTTTTTCTCTCTCTCTCTCTCTCTCTCTCTCTCGTTCGGTATTGTCGTGTCGAGCTCGTTAGTGATGGTGACCAATATAGTGAGAGTAGAGAAGAATGGGTAAAAAAACCTTTTTCTGTCTGGTATAGTACACGGGTGTGTGTAGCGAGAAACGACCTTGGAATGCATAACGAGTGGCTGTCGAAGGTCTCTTTGTTTGACGCATAGAATCGTTGTTGACGTCGTTGATGAGGATGATACTCGATTACTCTGCTCTCTTTCTTCATTCACATCGTCTTTTTTTTTTTCTTTTCTTTTCTTTTCTTTTTTATTCTACCGAAGTTTCAATGAATGAGAAAGAAGAATGAAAAGAGAACGATCATCTGACAGACTTGCCGTGTGCAATGAAAAGCTTCTTCATTGTCATCATATCATAATTTGTTACTCTACTATATTGTATTCAATACGAGAATGTGTACTATTTGTTATTTATTTCAATCGAAATGAGTGACAATGTCAAAAGAAAAAAAAAAAAAAAAAAGAAAATAGAAATATCATTTTGAATTATTCATTTACCTTATAGAAATAATAACATGTTTCACATATGAAACTTTTATTGTTTTCTTCTAATTTTTGTTTAGTCTAAATTCAAACTAAATTATAAATAAAAATATTTGGTTAACGTGAATTTCTAATAGTATAAATGGAAAAAACATATGAAGATTTTTGAGACCTAATTTATCGATATTATCGATTACGAGATTAGAATCAAATTGAATCATGAATAAAACATTATAATGAGGAATATATTATGTTTTTTTGTTTAGTTGTGATCTACTTATGTTATTGATTGAAATTATTTCTTCTGATAATAAATTAGTCAATCTTCACAACGTTTGAATAGAGAGTTTTTTTTTTTTTAGTTTTATAGAACATATTATTTTTGTTCAACTATAATTTTAATATTTACTGCTAAACAAGTATTTAAAGATGATATAAAATTTTTTTATAGATTAATAGAAAAATTAGTTTCATAGAGAAAGAGATTTTATTTCAAATAAAAAAATCATTTAAATTTATCCAATGTTAGATTTAATGAGAAATCAATTTTGACATTTGTCTAAAGACTTTAATAAAAATGATTTTAAAATTGTTGTTCTTTTTAATTCAATAATAAATATAAGAAACAAATATTCTGTCGACATTTTAAATTAATTTATTGATTAAAATTTTTCTTCGAATAATACAATTCAATAAAAAGTCAAACTATTTTATTTTTAGTTTTTCACTTGTTATTTTTATAGATTTATTTTTATTTTTATTTTTTTTTTTTTGCATTTTCCAATAATAACTACTGTAGAGCTAATATTCTTCATTTCGTTTAGCTGATTAATTAGACAGATCATTTTCAAACTTATCTTTTTCATATATATTAAATTAATAAAAAAATAAAACATTCAAGTATTTTTACAAAACAAAAAATAGTTAAAAACAGATATTTTACAGTTTATCATATAAAACTCTTTATTGTAAGACTTTATGTTCGTTCTAAGATTTTTTTTTTTTTGTTTTTAATATATAAATTCGGAAATATATATTCAAGTATTTGAATAAGTTCATTATTTCTATTGATTTATGTTGAAAAAATACTTGTTCTATTTAAACTTGAATATAAAAACAAATATATCGTATTTAATAAAAACAAAAAATAAAAAGATAATTATTTAAAATATACAATAAAACAAAATTGTCTTATTGTTTTGATTTATTAAATAAATTATCCACTTGTTTCTCCTGCTGAACGTTGTCGAATTAAAGTTGATCGTGCAAAAAGTTCATATTCTTGAGAAAATTTTTTTGGAAGAATATTTATATTGATTCGTCGTTTTGCAAGAAAAAGTAAACATAACGTTTTTAACGTTGGACCTACAAGAAAAATTCTTATTTTTATTATTTATTTAATTAATACATACAAAAATCCAAAACATAAAGATCACTTTGATCATAAAGTGTTGTTCGAAGAATCTCAATATCTTCTATTTCATCTCTATTATTTATATTTGTTGATCTTGATATTGATATTGGACTTGTTCCACCAAACATATACATTCGATTATCAATAATAAGACAACATTGTCGTCGACGAGGAACAGGATTTTCAATACCATGAACTTTTATACAATGCCACAATAATGTTAATGGATTAAATTCATATAAATCATTGAAATGTTTACCAATTACATTATTATAACCACCAAATATATATAATTTTCCATCATGAACAACTAACAAAACAAAAACAAATCGAAAATAAAATATTTTAAAATAAAAAAACAAAACAAACAAGCAGAATGTGATCTTCTTCCAGATGGTATTTCTCCTTTTGCTATAACTAATGACCATGATTTATTTTCACAATTAAATACATAAAGACGATCATCATATATATTTTCTCTTGTTTGTTGATGTCCAATATGATCAAATCTTCCACCAAATACATACATTTGATCATCTAAATTTGTTGCTGAATGAAAATCACGCTGTTGAGGAATAATATCACCTATCTTTAATTAATTATTTTATTTATAATCAAACAAAATAATTAAAATAAAACTAAAAACCTTTGAATGACGACAATGCCAAGANAAATTGAATAGTTTTTTTATGCTTTACTTTGAATAGTATATACGCGTTCAAGGTTGATAAATCCAGCAGATGAAAGAAAAATTTCTTGTACCACTTGACAGTTTTTCGTACGCATTCTATATAATATACTAGTAAAAGTAGAATGTGAGAATCAGACATGTCAGAACGCAAGAGAGAGTACATAAATACACACATAGCTATCCGGGACGATGACGCAATAATATTACTAAGATAAGGGTAAAAGAAAGGAATCTTTTCGATCGAGTCTAAATAATATTATAATGACGGTAATATCTGCAAAACTTCAAATACCATATATGGGTGATCCGTAATCAAAGGGTTAATATTCAAATTAGATTTCCTAAAAAAATATTGACAAAAAAAAATAAATGTCGAAAATATTTCATAAATTTGAAAATTTGTTGAAAAAATCGACAAAAATCTGATTTATCATGTAAAATTTAAATGTTAATTATTAGAGATAAACATGCTGAAATTAAATTTTTTTTGTGCAGAAAATTCGTCTAAAAGTCGACATGTGTTCTGACTGGATGAAATACTAAATATATTTCAAGTTTTCAATAAGTCAATTATTTTTATCAAATTGCGTTGAAAAATATTTGTTTTGTTTATTCTTGAATATAAAAACAATAATGTTTTATTTGAGAAAAATCATTATTAAAAATATATGAAAAAAAAAAAAACATAAATCTGATATTTTTTTCTCATGTTTAATAAATTATCCACTGGTTTCTCCTGTTAAACGTTGTCGAATTAAAGTTGATTTTGCAAAAAGTTGATATTCTTGATGAAATCTTTTTGGAAGAATATTCATTTTAATTCTTCGTTTTGCAAGAAAAAGTAAACATAATGTTCTTAATGTTGGAGCTAAAACAAAACAAAATTATTCGAAAGATTAAATTAATTAATATATTATTTATACAAAACGCACTACTTTTTTTTATACGTGATTAGATAGACTTCAACGAGCTAATTAACAATATGGATTTTACTGCTTTTTTTAAAAACTTTTCATTAAAAAAAGTCGACTTTCAAACAGATTGTAAAAATGATAATGTTTACATTCATCATGAAAAACTGACACTCTGAAACAAATTATTAATATTATTCAAGTATGTTATCATCATAAAATTCTTTGGATCATAAAATCAATGGCAAGTGACATTTCAACTAGTCGATGAGACTTTTTCCAAAGGTATCTTATCTACTTTTTTTCTATATTATAGTATATCTTACTTTTATATACTATTGCAATCGCTAGATATTTGCACTTGAAATGCATACCTCAACTTTTTCATAATATTGCTTTCCTTAGAGAAAAAATCGTTCAATCTTGCTTTCGAACATCTAAATCATAAAATTCTGCCAATAATACGAAGTTTTATTTATCGAAACTCTGCAAATTTTTTGATAAAAATGATAGACTCTGAATGAGCACGAAAAAAACAAGTTGAATAGAATGTCTTTCTCTTTTACGAAGAATTTGATTTTTTTTTGAGGTTTTCTAACTCCAAGCAAAAGTTATAGATTTTCATGAAAAAAATTAAAATCAATCGAACACTTTCAAATGTTCATTGATTGACAGAGTTTTGTCGTGTGGATTCCGAATATACTATTTTTATCGAAAAATCGCCGAGCTTCGATGAATAAAACCACGTATTACTAATAGAGTTTTATGTTTCAGAGATTCTTAATAGTATTCTACACGGGTACGACTTTTTCAAACCGAACCTGAACCAAAACTAATCGACATTTGGCAGATACTTTCACAGTCACAACATAGTTTTCAAACTTTTATTTTATATAAAAAAGTATGTTGTTTAGTTTCTTTCATAAATAGCAACAACAAAAAAAAAAAGAGATCATCTCAAATTCCACAAAAAAGAAAGTTAATCAAGTGATCTAGAATTTACTTGCTATGTTTATACTTCTAAAACTTGATCGATTTCACTAAGTAAATGTTTGCTCGTTGCTTATACAACCAGAATGGAACACTGTACTGGTAGCAAATATCATAATTGTGAATACATCCATAAATGTTTTTCCCATTGAAAAAGCGAAAATATTTTGAAACATCGAGATCTCAATAACTGCCGGGTCGAGTCTGACTATAAGATCATATCCAGAATCCGAACCGATATTTTTTTATGTTCAGCAATTAGACTCGTGCTTCATTAAACTAATCTTTTTCAAAATCGAACCTATACTTTTCAAGTGTAATGTCTAGCAGTTCCAATGGTATATATAAAAGTTAAATGTACTTGTAACATAGAAGAAAATTAGATAAGCTTTGCAAAAAATTCCATCGACTGATTGAAATGTCACTTGTCACTCATTTTATAATCGAATGCATTTTATGATGATAACATATTTGAAAGGCAATAATAATTACTCTCAGATAGACAGTTTTTCATAGATTCTTCCAAACAAAATAATAATATATATATATTCGTACTCAGCTCATCGAGATCTATCTATTCATGTGTGAAAAATGAAAAGAATAATTTTGATATAATTGTCTAGGTATTTTTTTTCATCTTACCAAAATCCAAAACATAAAGATCACTTTGATCATAAAGTATTGTTCCAACAGGATCAGTATTTTGTATTTCATCTGTATAATTTATATTTGTTGATGCTGATATTGGACTTGTTCCACCAAACATATACATTCGATTATCAATAATAAGACAACATTGTCGTCGACGAGGAACAGGATTTTCAATACCATGAACTTTTATACAATGCCACAATAATGTTAACGGATTAAATTCATATAAATCATTGAAATGTTTACCAACTACATTATTATAACCACCAAATATATACAATTTTCCATCATGAACAACTAACAAAACAAATTGAAAATAAAATATTTTAAAATAAAAAAACAAAACAAACAAGCAGAATGTGATCTTCTTCCAGATGGTATTTCTCCTCTTGTTGTAACTACTGACCATAAATTATCTTCAGGATTAAATATATAAAGATTATTATCATAAATAGATTGTGCTGTTTGTTGATGTCCAATATGATCAAATCTTCCACCAAATACATACATTTGACCATCTAAACTTGTTGCTGAATGAAAATCACGCTGTTGAGGAATAATATCACCTATCTTTAATTAATTATTTTATTTATAATCAAACAAAATAATTAAAATAAAACTAAAAACCTTTGAATGACGACAATGCCAAGATGATTTATTAAAATCAAAATAAAAAAGATCATTAGAAAATTGTTGAGTCTAATCAAAAATAAACAAAAAAAAATGAAGAAAAATTTGAATAAATTTAAATAAACTTACATGATCTTCAAATCCACCAAAAACGTACATTCGATCATTAATAATACATGCAGAATGGCCATCACAACCAGCTGGAACAAAATCACCAACGATTGATACAATAGACCATTGACGAGATCCTTAATTTATTTTTAAAAATTTTTTAAAAATATATATTTACTTGAAATAATTACTAGGATCAAAACAAAATAGGCGATTACATGATCCGAGATAATCATTTCGTCCACCCCATAAATAAAATTTTCGTTTATAAACAACAATTGTATGTCCATATCGTGAAAAAGGTGTTACATTATATTGAGGATTATTTCGTTGAGGTTTTGGTAATAAATACCATTTTAATGTATCTAAAACTAAATCGATCAATAAATATTAAAAAAAAAATTTCTTACGAATATTAAATATATGAATATCAATTGGAGTAACTTGTGTATAATCTTCTGTATCAGAATAACCACCAAACGAATAAATAAAATCATCTAATGCTCCTGCAGCATGATTCACTCGACGAGGTCCATTTTCAATACATTGAATCCAATACATTTTCGGTTTAATAAAAAAATCTTCTTATTTTGGCGTTTCTACATAATACGCATATTCCTTGAGTCATATGCAATGATTTACATTGTGAAATGAAATCTATTGCATCCAGTGGAAGACTGATAGATGGTAGCAGTTGTCTGTTTCAACATAGCTGGCTAATATCATAAATGCTAAAAAGTGCAAAAACTAAAATGAAGTAAGCAAAATTTAAGAGTACTCCTACCAGATAAACACACTGTAATCATAATTGCTTTGATGTCACAATGCAAACCAGTGTATGTAGATGGAAAGGATGTATATTCTCTAGAAGCACTCTATCTATAATCTCAAGTGAAAAATATTCTGTTTTTAAAAACAAAATAGTTATACGTCAGAAAAAATGATAGTAACTTATCTAATATATTTCAACAAAGTTACAATTTTGTTAAATTCTATTCTTTAACTTTTCATAAATTTTCTAGATAATATTTTATCATAGTTTTGTTTTGATCATGTCACGTATTCATGGTCATATTGACAAAAAAAAGGAACTGAAATCTTTCTCATCATGCATTTCTCAAAATAATAGTAGACACTATTTAACCATCTAGCACTGTATCAACCTTTAATTAGAACAAATTCTACAGGTCGTTCAGTTTATTTTGAAACGATTTGCATAGAGTTTTTCTTCGTTATTAACTAATACAGATCGCATGATTCCCATATCAATTTATTCCCCTGACACTCTAAATACTGTCATGATATTTGTATTTTAGATAAACTAATGCCTCGTAATAAAATATCTAATAATATTGAAGGGATCGTCAAATATCGTTTGACGAAAACGTATTTGTATTCTGTGATACAACAAGAATTATCTGAAATGAATCTTAATGTTTTAAAAAGTACTATTAGNAAAAATAATACTATAAAAGTTGCCGTTTATTACTTTTCAGATATTTATTATTTTAATATTTTTTGAAGAATCTTCTGCTGGATATGGCAACAGGAGGTGGAGAAACAGGGACAGCACAGCGCATTTTGCGCATTACAGATATTGCTCAGGAGCCACTTCAGTTTATTGCGCCCTTTGGTGGCTATGAAGAAATGCCAGTTGTTTCACTTGAAGAAGCTGTTGACTCGCTCGTTCCTCTTCTACCAGCTGTTCAAAGTCATGCTTATGTTGCCAAACAAAGATGTGAGAATCCTGCCGATGGATTGACACAAGATGAATCGGCCTCAATTATGCTGTACACAATGGGGTGGGAGCCAATCAATAAATGCCTATATTTCGCTTTGAATAATATATTACGATCACCTGAACGACAACAAAAACTTAGGCCATGCTATTTGTTTATGAGACTTTTTCTCAGCGTACTTCTTCGTCTTCCGGCGCTTCCTAAAATTGCATACAGAGGAGTAAAATTAGATTTGAGCAAGCGTTACATCGAAGAAAAAACAATCGTCTGGTGGGGTTTCTCATCGTGGACAACTACTGTTGGTGTTCTAAAATCGAAACTATTCTTGGGAACGACAGGTGACAGAACAATATTTACCTTACAATGTCAATAGGCTAGAGATATTCGCCAACATTCGTATTATCCAGTCGAAGATGAAGTACTTCTTATGGCTGTAACTCAATTCAAAGTAGTCGGTTGTCTTGATCAAGGAAACCTTCACATTGTTCAATTGGAAGAAAGTCGTCCTCCATTTCCACTGCTACAACCAGTACCTATTGCTGTTCCATCATCTGTTAATCCAACTCCCTCAAGTAAGGGAAAATGAAAACAAAAGAATATTTCACTTGATAAATAAAGTACCTACTTTTGATACTGCGAAGAAAATCAAAAATTATATCCTCCAATTAATGTACGCATCATAAAGTGTGAGCACAAAGAGTCGATTCAGTCCAAAAGATCAGTAGAAAATCTTCATGATAATTTTCGATTAAACTCAATGGGATTTTTAGTTTCAAAGAATAATTTTTCATAAAAATTCGATTTTGTCCAAGTAATCAATTAAAAATCTCATCAACTTCAATAACTATTTTGACACATCTATTGAACATTTTTATCTTTAAATCGATTTTAAAAAAATGATAACCGCTGGAAATATTTTCTGTAAGGTATATTTTCTTTTGTTATTCTTAAATTTTTGGTTTTTTGGTTTCCACGTTAGAGCAGGAAGGGGAGACGTAGATCAAAATCGAAAAAATGTTTAGTCAAATGAATTAGTGCTCCGACGCTGTAGAGATTGAGTGAATGTAATGTAAATTTTTTTCCTCAAGTAAGAAATCTACAACAATGCTTTTTCTTTCGGTCAACCTATAGATAAAAATTGCAATTTTAGATAAGTTAATAAATTCACACAGAACGCGAAAATCTGACATGTTCAAATGAAACACTCCCTTACTCAGCCACTCGCAATCTCATAGTTTTCGCTCATATAGACACCCTCATTCTCATAGAAACCTTCTTTGTCTTCTATTGCTGCTGATGACACTTGTCTTTGCTTTGGATAAACCATCAAAGAGTAAAAGGATATTAAATTTTATAGGAAATGCCCTAAAAAACAACTATTGAGAAACGAATAATTGTCTTGTATTGCAGGTACTTCGACAATAACTCCTATTAGCGTAAGCAAAACAAAAAAGGATACACACCGGCAAAGTTCAAGTAATTGAAATAATTTCTTAGTGCCTTTTTTTCTTCATATATATCTCTTTTCGTTCATAGAGCAATCTATCTGCAGCAGCCACCGCCTGCAGTGTCGGAAAGATTGGAATAAGCTCCATCATCAACAAAGTAAGACGATAATCACTCTAGAAAATGGATATTTGTCGAACATCTTATACTTTTAGATATCCGCAATTGAAATCAACTCTTCAGCAAATAAAGGTAGGATATCGTTGGTTACCGCCGTGAAAATGAACATGATTAATAATCGTGAAAGTTATGTGAATAAAATCATGGTCATCTCTCAGAATCACTGATATCGTCATTCGACAATAAATTAGATTTTTGTTTTCGTTCACTCTCTGAAGAACACCAATCTAGGTTTGATTGTTTTCTCATCAAACAACGACTGTACACATAAGGGTTATTCGAGAGTAACGGCTAACAAAATTTTCTTGGCACTATCTTGGTTTAGAAGCGTAGTTTTTCTTTTTCTCTCGGAAAAAATATATTGTAGTCACACAACGGTCAAATTTTCTTAAAACCATGTAGACAGAACAAGTGTTATTACGTATACTACCGTTTTGGGTTGTGCGGTAAAAGAAGATAGAATAGAAGAATGTATTATAAGAAACAAACAAGCTACATTTCCATGTCATATGTAAAAGTGCACATACTTTTGCCTTATTTATTAGAGTCAATCAGATTCTGTCTCGTATTTAACCTGGTTCCATCCAGATTTTAGTGAGATCATGAACATTAATGTGATGATCGATTCAAATCTTTATAAACTTAGATTAATAAAATTACTCATTTGCATGGCAAATTCTACGAGTTTTACCGTGTTCAAAGGTAGCAACGCGTATTAACGGTAAAAGATCAATGAATAACACAAATTTTTGAGTTTTTTTTAACGCTTTCCACCATGTTCACCAATAATTTGCTATTTTCCAGATTTTTAAGCAATTGAACACGTTCACTCGATCATCAGAGGCCTGCCGTTTTGATTATTAAAAAACAAAACCAAAAAGCTTCAAACTTCTGTTCGTACCAAGGGGGAAACAGCGGAGACTTCACGACTGAAGTCTCATGAAGTCTTGAAAGTCTTTCGAAGTCTTCTGAAGCCTCTTGAAGTCTCTAAAGTCTCATAAAGTCTGATGAAGTCTCTTGAAGTCTGATGAAGTCTTTTGAAGTCTCTTGAAGTCTTCTGGAAGCTTTGAAATACATTTCGTGCATGAAAATTCACAAGAAATCAATGAAATTGTCTTGTTTTCGACGGTCTTATTTTAGTAGAAAGGTGAACTTTTTATTGTTTTTTTAATGCACTGGAAAAAATTCAAGCTTGTTTGATCTTAGAAAACATAATAATTAATAAGTGAATGTTTTTTGAATGAAGTGGTTTATTTTTATAAGAAATTTTCCATCTATCCAAATCAATCTGATGAAGAGTTTCAATCCTTTTGGTTTGTTTCTATCACTCGTGATAATCTATCAGCCGATAAACGACTAACTTTGTCGGTCAATAACCAACAAGCCGTTTGCTTGTGTATAGGGTGTGAGTGTAATCTCAAGCACTTAAAATGTCTGCGATATGTACGATCATATATTCAACATTACTCGTGTCATCGTAAAATATTCTAGATATTGATATGTTGCGAGAAACAATTCTCCAAAACAAGAAACCTTTTTGTAATCTCTATATGATAGGGGTGCCAATTTATATTTACTTTTCGTTTAATTTACGCGTAAATTAAACGAAAAGTAAATATAAATTGGCACCCCTAACTTCAACATTTTTCGGTTGAATGAGCATAGTTTCGAGAATATTTACATATAAAAAAAAGTCTTTTGGGAGCAATTAATTTTCAATATCATTCTGTTTCTAGTGCTCGGAAGACACTAGTTACTCCGTTATGAATGAGAGTGTCAGTTTATAATATTTACTTATCATTTAATTTACGCGTAAATTAAATGATAAGTAATTTGTATTTATTATAAAGTACATGGTAAATGACACCCTTACCTAATGATAAGCTTTTTTGCATGTTATAAAGGTTTCATTTAATTTCTATAAGTTTTTTTTTGATACGCATGGAATCTGCCTCTTGAAGTCTTGTGAAGTCTTTTGAAGTCTTACGAAGTTTTGTGAAGTCCGATGAAGTTTTGTGAAGTCTGTAGAAGTCTTGTGAAGTTTTATGAAGCCTTATGAAGTCTTATGAATTCTCATAAAGTCTTTTGAAGTCTCATGAAGTCCGTGAAGTCTCAAGAAGTCTGTGAAGTCTCATGAAGTCTTTTGAAATTCAATGAAGTCTTCAGAAGTCTTTTGAAGTCTTCAGAAATCTTTTGAAGTCTTCAGAAGTCTTCTGAAGTCTTCTGAAGTCCTATGAAGTCTTTTGAAGTCTTGTGAAAATATGAAGTCACTGCGGCTGAAGTCCGTTGAAGGCTCTTGAAGTCTTGAAGTCTGCTGGTTCCTCCTTGCTGGAAAGTCATCTATCAATACAATGTGAATATCTCCACCTCGCTTGCATTAAATGGGCTAATTTTTTTTCTAATAACAGAGATGAATTCCAAGTTTTTATTTATAAGATCAACGTGATTAAATACTACTTTGAACTATGTTATCTTCTGCTTTGCTTAAAAACCTCTTTAGAAAATAATGTTTTCCTGACCAGTCTATTTCTCACGTTTTGAGTGGAATTTGGCCTGCAGCGTGTTTACACAGATTATGTGCACCGATCAAATAGACCGGCTTTCTAGCCTATGAAATACTCCATCTTTTGAGACGTCGCCCAGCTCGAATGGTAATACGGTTCGGGAGATCATGTCAAAATAGTGACCATACCCATATTTGGATTTAAAATGTACCCTAGTTTCTTATTTCAGTCTGTAGTTTTCATAGAAAAAAACCAAATGGCCTAATATTTTGAAATTGAGTATGGTTCGAGTAGATCTTTTGTTTGGGATATTTAAATCGAAAAACAAAACATTTTCTCCAGTAGTCATAGGCAAAGTTAGATCGCCCTTTGGCAGACCATCTCTTATGCGCTACTCTGTAGTTCAAAGCAGTATTTGTTCACGTTGCTCTTATGCATAAAGACTTGAAACTCACCTCTACCACCAGAAAAAAACATTAGCTCATTTAATCAAAGTGTGATGAAGATATTCAAATTTTTTTATAGGGGACTTTCCAGACATTCTGTATCCTGCCGTGTGCTCATTTCTAGAAAAAAATATGTTATTCTCAAGCAAAAAGACCAGAGTCAGGATAAAATATGTTTATGAAGATCGAGTGTTAGAAATAGTGTTACACTCTTTCTCTTCTTTTAATCTTTATTACTCTGTAAAATATCAATGTTATCACCGAGACAGCAGAGTGATGGTATAACAACAGAACGAAACAAAAGATAATTCCCCTTCGCATGGAATCGAATCATACACTCCTGTTTTCCGGGCAGACGTATTAGCCACTGTACTAGAAAGTGTGTCCTCTATCCGTCTTACGATAGGATGGGGACAATCCGATCGTAGCAAATAGAGTATGAGGTTTTGTGAACATTGGGGGTGTCACACTTATCATTTACCACCACTTCCACTTCCACTTACCAGATAAGTGGTAAGTGTTGTAATCATCAAAAAATTGTCAATATAGCGCTAATAAATGAGTATCTTAATTATTGATTATTTATTCTTGCATGGTAATCTTCACCACTTACCACTTACTAGTAATAGTAAGTGGAATATGACACCCCTAGTGAACATAAGCATGTGTTCTCAGTAAAACAAGTTCAAGATTGGCTTTCTGTGCAAAAGTATATGTTGAAAGGCTAAACTTACAGATTTTGCGAAACTCACATATAAAATATGTGTGTTGAGTTGTAGGGTGTGCAAGTTTCTGTTCCCTCTTACTTTCACTCCCTCCCTTCCCCTTACAGCCATCCCCTCTTCCCATGCAGACAAACATTTGGAAAAACGCGTGTAAACATTCAATCGGGAACCGCGATTGTGAGTCATTACCGCTCATTAACAAAACGCAAGAAGCGTGTTTTTTACGCAGAATTTTCACTTTCCCAGCGTGAAAATGGATAAAAGCTCCAATTTTGAGTGTTTAAACGCACAATTATTCAACAGCTTAAAAACCGATGCGTTTAAACGCTCAGAATTGGAGTTTTTATCTGTTTTCACGGTCGGAAAATGAAAATTCTGCGTAAAAAACACGTTTCTTGCGTTTTGTGAATGAGCTTTAATGACTCGCAATCGCGGTTCCCTATTGAATGTTTAAACACATTTTTTCAAATGTTTGCCTACATGGGTTACAGACACCCTCTCTTTTTTCCGACATGTCTGTCACGGTTTGTGACGGGACCTAAATTAAAATGTTAATTTATTTCGTTTTTAATTAATTTTTTAATTAATAAATTAGTGGTCCGAAAATCCGAAATAGCATGTCAAAATGTCTGCCACGATCTGTGGAGGAAGTGGGGGCGGGGGTTTAAATTGTCTACCTCTATACTTCAAGACTCATTTTGCGAATCTCACTGAGATAAAATATAAAAGAGTGAGCTGAGTTTTAGACCGACGAAGTTGGATGACCCCCCTCCCCCTTGCAGACACGTGTTTCTAGAGAGATATTCTATTATTGTGAAACACGATTGGAAATGAGTATTGAAGTATATAGGTAGAAAAGTGTACCCCTATAGACCCATGCATGTCAAACCCGAAATCAGATATTCAGATACTCGCTGAGATATTCGCACAAGCCATGAAATTTACAATCTTCCCAGAGCGTGATACTAGAGTAATCATACTCGCAGAATTATCAATTGTTAATTAATAACTAATAAGAATGGCATTCGAAAGCGCGAGTGTTGCTCTGCATTAGGGGGCCTCGAAATACTGACCAGTGAGCAGCATGCTGCATTATGGTGCATAAATCGAATATCCGAATATCTGAATTCAGATTTCGGGTTTAACACTAGTGACTTTTTGCCATTATGATATTATCTCTATCATGAATCTTGACAGCTATTACTCCAGCACCTCCACGCACACCTGTCAATGTCGGTTCTGCCAACACTCTTATATCAACAACATTGTTCACCAGCCCCTATTACACTTGTTATTGTTATCAATGGACAGCGCCTACCACAGGCATGGTCACACTTAATATCCTACTACGTAATGATCCAGCTTACTCGTATCTTGATGAGGTGTCAATTTACAACGGTAATACTCAAATGTTGGTCAATGGAGGCTTTGAAACAGGCAGTCTCTCATCATGGTCGGTATCGTTTCCTTATGGAGCCTGTCAAAACGGAAATTTTCACGGTATAATCTGCAGTCCACGTACCCATAGTGGTAGTTATTCCTATTGTGATGGTTGTTACGCAGTTACAGATAAACTTAGTCAGTCGTTTATGGCTGTAGCTGGAGATGTTTATATCGTCAGCTTTTGGCTAGAAACAGGATCAACTGCTAATTCAGGAATATCGGCTACTGTCACCATAACGTAATCTGATGAAATGAAAGTTCTAATTACTGACTTTAAATAAAATAGCCTGGATGCCTGCACATGAACATAATTTGTTTTTGCTTCTGTTGTTGCTTCTTGTTTCGTAGCGTTTTGTAAAAGAAAAAGCCGACAGCAATAAAGAAATTTCGTGCAAAAGAGTGGGTGTGGGGGTCTGGGTATGGGTGTGGATGTGTTTATAGTAGAAGATATGATTCAAAGCATCATACAATGCGTTTCGACTGTTGCTTAGACAGTTATCATTAGGTATGTTCTGAATCAAATACTACACAGATATGAATTAATTTATATGCTCTGAATATTTTTATTGAAAAGGAATGTTTGAGTAAGGAAGTGGAATTAAACGAGCATATATAAGTGATTGTTGAGCTCTATTGAAAATGAAATTTTTACTATTGGTAGCCATGCTTTTTCTATTAGAGGATGTGTTCCTGGAATTATAATAATTGATTGCGTCGTATGATAGTTTTGGATGCTTTTTTTCTTGTATCAGGCTATGCTGTTTTGTTTATTGGAGTTTGTATATGTAATTAGTGTGTGGTAGTTGGATAAGGGCCCCATGTAAAAAAACAAGCCTGGAAATCGAATTAAAATCGATTTTCGAGAGAAAAATCGCGAAAAATCGATTAAAAGTGGCAAATTCTGATTAAATTCGAGTCGAGAATCGATTATAATCGATTTTACTGAGTAAAAATCCATTAAAATCGATTTTACTGAGTAAAAATCCATTAAAATCGATTTTACTGAGTAAAAATCCATTAAAATCGATTTTGTCCGGTTTTAATCGATTTTAATTGATTTCTGTCGTAATTGCGCAATCTCTACTTGAAGCAATTTATATAGGAGTTCCAACTCTACTATACTGGACGATCATGTAGCTGAGTGGTAACTACATGGTTTCTTAATATGAAAAATTCAAGGTTTTCAGTTCGAATCTCGAGAAAAACACATTTCTCCGAAAATATGATTAAAATCGATTACCAAGTAATAATCGATTAAAATCGATTACCAAGTAAGAATCGATTAAAATTGATTCAAAGCTATCCATGTAAAGAATGGGAACGATCTGATTTTAATCGATTTCTTTCTGATTAATAATCAATTTTAATCGATTTTTTTCTGATTAATAATCGATTAAAATGGCACGATTTTAATCCGATTTCAATCCGATTTTTTTATCAGAAAAAATCGATTAAAATCTGATTTTTCCCGTCATTTTTTTGCATGGGGGCAAATCTGTTTTCGAATAGTTGACGTGTGACCGTGATTCGGGTTTGTTTCACATCTAAAAGAATAGATTCGAAACATGTTGGTCCTGTTTGATTTTTTTTAATGAATTTTTAGAGAAAGTGTGGATCTCGTAAAGTGTATATATTTATTTTTGGAATTATCTGAGGAAACGTGCAATGACATAATTCATAGAAAATGAAAATGATCTTCTTCTTTTTTTTCGGCCAAATAGATTTGTTTTGTAGTTGAGCTGTTGGTGCGTTTTATGTTTGTTCCATATGTGTGAGCGTTTCTTTTCGAGATTTCTTATGTATGAAGAACGTTTCGAGTATTCGATTGGTATTAGTGACTAGTCGCACTTTAACATTTTTCAGAGTTGTGCCTTCGTGCGCGTAGTAAGTTCGCCACCATCGATAAAATTGTTTTCGGAAAGTCGTCGATGTGAAGCTGTCGAACAGATAGTGGGGGTGCATGATGCTTGCATCCTAAATCTTCTGTTGCAATACTGTTGGTGATAGAATTGGATCTTTTGTCATTAGGTTAAGTTGTTTTTCATGTCGAGCCGATTGATACAGTAGTTTTTGATGTAGCTGATGATAAACTTGTTTATTCAATACGTTGACCACAGTCATGGTCTGGTTTACTTCAAAGAATCGATAGAAGGGTGTGGGTGTGTGGTTGTGGGTGTGAGTGTGGGTGGGTGTGGGTGTGGGTGTGGGTGTGGCTACTTAGTGGATCAACATCTACATCCACACTCACATCTTCTCATAAACCACGCCTACACCCACACTCACACCTTTCCATAAACTACGCTTACACCCACACCCTGCAATCAGATATTTATGCGAACTCATCACATGATGAATGAAAACAGGAGAACCTGGTTGCTTCTTTACTTATCTCAAATAATATTCAGTCTTGGTAAGTCATTTTCTGACGTCCAAAGTTTACTGACGTCATAGATTAGTCTCATACGTGCGTCGATTTCATGCACTGATAAAAACAACCATGCTTTGACCAGATAAGTTTCGAAAATAAATTTGAGTCCCTTTTTCACATATGTAAGGCAATAGACAAGTCTTATCATGTCACAACAGGACTGGTTTATGCCAATTAAGACCAACTTTTATAAAGTTATTCAATTCTACGACCTAGTCGGCTGGCGTATTGAGAAAATGCCGGAAGAACAGGACACTAGTCTAGCGGCTTTAAGGGAAGGAAGAAAAAAAGGATGGCTTTTTCGACTGCATAATGCTAAGGGAAAGTAAGTACAGACTTGAAATATGTTTTGTATAATGTATTTTGGTTGCGGGAAAAAGGCTCACATGTGAAAAATGCAAGGATCAAGCATGGGAATCGGTCTACACAACGGTCGTTTGGAGAGGTAAAGAGCGTAAAAGTTTTGTTCAAATAGTTATAGAAAAGCAAAAGTGTCGGCATTGTAAGACACCATGCCAGATTTATTTATATGACGACGAACAAATCGAATATGCCTTAGATTGGATGGTCGTTTGGATTTTCGACGAATTCTACAATACAAAGATCAGAGATGACAGCCACAACGACACCGACATATCTGATAGCGAAGACGACAGCGAAGTACCGCATCAATATAGACTCTGTATCGCATGTAGAAAAAATACCTGCAAATGGCGGCGGAAAACCAAACGGCGTCATCGCAATAGACAGATTTGTATTACTCAGGCATATGAAGACGATGATGATAAGAAATTGCATGACGAAATCTACATTGGAACATGGCCGCATCTTGCTTACCATTGTATGGGAAAGGTTCAAAATCAAAAAGTGAAGAATACTGTCTCAAAACTTGGAAATATGCCATCAAAAAAATAACAAAACCTGTTGCCAGCTATGAGCGGTGAAAAAAACTCTCCTTTTTGGTCGGACAGGTGTTGAAAAAGAGATTCACTGACCAATTTCACCAAAACAGCATAATTTTTTATTTTTTTACGTTGCATGTTTTGTCTGAAAAAAGGATAAAAATTCTAATGAGATTCCTTCGTAAGAATAAGCTAGCATACAGGAATGATAAAACTGTCTGTGTACTACTCATGTATTAGGAAAAATATGTGTTTTTATCTTTACCTTTTGAAATGTGAAATTCTCAAATCTTTTCCTTTCAAACGTCAAGAAAAGATGAGATTCAGTAACGAGCGATATTTCCAACTTTTTATTTCATGAAGATAAGAGGGTGTTGGTGTGAGTGTGACGTGTTTAACTGTGGCTGTGGATATGGGGTGTTGATGTTATCCTGATGTATGCACTACCATCCACACCCACTCCTACACCCATACCCACACCCCCACTAACAATTATTACTGTATCATGATGTTGATATTATTTAAAAGATTTTTTCTTGTTTTGTGCTATCAATATCATTATAAAATAATATACATTTTGAAAAAAGACGATATGCAGATATTTTTTGAATAAATTTTGATAAAAACAATTTATAAAGCAACAATTTTCATAGTTCAAAAGAGGTATTGTTGTCATTGCATAGTTTCATATCATATTCAGTAAATTTTGTTAATTGTTACATTGCTAGTTAATGATCTCAAAAAACAATATTCGTTGAAGATTATATAGATCTTCATTTCTAACTAACAAAATACATACGACATATCAACATCTAGACAACTATGCAAACTTAGCATTTCTGTTGTTGTTCTACTTGAAAAGTTATACAAAATTTAATGATGATTAAGATACTTCTGTCCCAATCATTTTTAACGTTTTTCAAGATGTGCTAGCAACCACATTATGTAGCAACTGAAAAAGAACAATCGCATACTCGAAGTATATTTTTGACTTATTGAACCTCAACATGATCGTCGAACATTAATAACGGCTTTAAGTCTCGTTCAACATTGATATTCGATAAGGTTTCTTCTCTATTTCATGATTATGAACAGAGCGAACTCTGAAGATAATCGCATTCGGATGTGTGAGAGTAGGGGTGGGGTGGATGTTAATCTTCCTTTCATTTATACCCACACCCACACCCTATTTATGTTCATTTATTTAAAATAACAAACATTGACAAAATAATACAAGAAATATCTTCATTTTATTGGTTTGTTTTTTTGTTTTCAAAAGGTTTAAAATGGAACAAACGCTATATTTTTTATTTGACCTTCTTTTTCAAAAAAACAACGGAAAATTATTTAATTAAGAAAGTCTATCGTCAGCAAACGAATGATAAGATAAATATTGTCACCTGCGCAGTTTTCTCTGCCATTTTTTTTTATTGACGTTAATCTTGTAATCGAATAAATATTTAATTTAAATTTCAATCAATATGATCCATTGAAAATAATATTCTAATCATTATCTAAACCTTTCTTTTGTTTTTTATCTTATTTACTTTTGGAATGCAGTATATTATATAGCTAAAATATAATCGTTTACATTATCGATGCCATTTTATGAATGAGAAAATAATGATCATTCTGTCACGTACACATATAATGATAAGCATAACTTTTGATCATGTCTAAGAAAAAGTTTTCTTTTTATACAAGATGAATGAAAATGAGCCATCTAAGTATATAGAAAAGATTGTTCTTGAGATTCTCAATCGGTTTGTATTATTTGATGAGTTTTGTGTGTAAAACAAAAAGTAAAAATTGTTCTAGTTCACGTTTCCACTTTCATCAATGGCAAGTTCATCGTATAGAAAAATTTAATATTGCAAGATTTAATGCAAGAGAAGCAGCTTACGCTTTTCTTAGGCAATTTAATGGAGAAACATTGGTTAAAGCTCAAAAGGTACAAAAAATCTTTTTTTTTTTGTTGTTCTTTGATGAAACTACTGATTACTGTATTAGATAACTGTTCGGTATAATAATCAAGAACTACGTCTTTGTGTACGTCAGTTGATTTGTGAGTGACTTTTGTTTTTTTTACTATATCAAAATCTTGTTCATTAATAATAATTAGATAGAAAGATCGATGAGAACTCGAATAAAATTTCTGATTCAATAGTCGAATTTATTTATCGAGGAAAAATGTTTACGTATGTATTTTTTTTAATATGATTAATGTTTAATTTTGAAAAATATTTAGTGAGATCAAATGGCCAGCAACTATAGTTAACCAAAGAAATCGAGTCGGATCCGAAAATGATAAAAATAAATTGGTGAGTTACAATTTAATTATCTAAATTATTTATTTGTATAAGAAAAGTAGACAACATCTGATATAATACCATCATTTCAAAGTGAATTAAGTAAACCTACAAACAAGAAGAATACTCATATTAATGGTAATTATTCTTTAATTGATACTAATAAAACGGCTAATGTCAGTAGCTCGTAAGTCGATAGATATCTAATTCTGTTTATTTATTTGAGAATATTTGATAGAATTGTACCATCTATATCATGCAATGATCAAGATAATCATCAATTGTTATCAGGAAATGCTATGACAGAAAATCTTACTAGTTCATTATATCAAGATTGCCCAGTTCATCGACTGATTTCTAGCCGACAAAGATTTATTGCTCATGATGGTTAGTAGTCATTTTATCTTTTGGCAATTTTATCCTCCGTTTTTTTTTTAGATAGAAGTCTTTCGTCGAGCTGCGCAATGGACGATGAAAGTCATTGTCGAAGTTCAATTTTTATTTATATTAATCGAAATAAGACTCTTTAATATCATTAAAAATTTTGTTTCGAACAATATTCGAAATTTTTCATGATTTATTTTGCTTCTTAGATAGAGTTATTCTAACAAGAAACATTGATTTTTTTCTATAGTATTCAAAATTTTGTTTTAAAATAAAATGAATAACATTTATCTTAAGTTGCAGACCTATTTCAAATATATAATAGCATGTTAAATATTTAGTAGGACGTTATTATGATATGTTTTTTCTTTCACTGTTTTCACTGAAACAAGTAAATTGTATGAATATTTTCGAACTGACAAGATGTTTATTGAATGCAATGACTATCGATAGTATTCAAAATTCTTTTTTCAAGTACTCGAACCAATATCAATTTTCATTTTTATAATACGAATAGTTAATGAGTGTTTGCTTTATTCGAAAGATTCGTATATTTAATAAAAGAGTTTTCATCATTAGTAAATAAATATTCTTTTTAACCTTAGGAATTTTGTAAAGTGTAGTATCGAGAGATAATTTATTTTTCATGATTTGACTATAGTGAAATATTTAATATCTTAATCATTTAATTAAGTGAATTGATTGTTGTGTAATATGAGCTGACGATCGAAAGTAATTTTCAAGAATCAATATGCTACAATAGTTAATGTTTAGAAAATATATAAATTTGTTTGATCATATGAGTAAATAGTGCAATGAATCTGAGTATACGAAATTATTGACAGAATAAAGAAAAATATAATTAAAAATAACGCATTCTGATGGTGGAAGAAGAACAAGTTTGCCAATATTATTATTACTATTTACATGTTAGATGAAAAACAGTATGATAATATTGTTGAGAATCAAAGGTGAATAGAATCTAATGTTTTAAACCATTTCATACTATGAAACGTAACCAATGCAATAAAAAATGTGGAATTATTATTTTTTTCTTCTTCTTTGATTAAGTTTTTTTTAAATATTTGTCTTCTTTAGAATATCCATATGTGTACTTTTTTAGTTTCTATTTAATACAATAAAATTCAATTTAAAGAAAAAGTCCGCAGAAGAAAACATCAATCCAGTGTGATACCTCACAGTATCTTAAAGAAATGCCAATTCAGTTTGATCCTCACATTGATCAAATTGCAATGGATCATACCGAAAAAAATTTTTTTTTCAAGTAATTACTATTCAGATTGAAGCGGATTAATCTATCAAAGTTGTCTATGAGAACAGATGTTTTGCGAGATATTAGAACTGAATTACAACAATTCATTTTATATGTTCATCAAAATTCATACAGTTCGTAAGAGTATGAAGCTTTTAGTTGTTTAAGTAGTTTATGATCAAGAATATGGTTTTAGTTTGGTAACTGAATGCTTTTCAACAGAGAACCGTCATAACAAAAATCTTTTAGATATCAAAATTTTTTTATCTATTAAATGACAAAAAAAAGTGTTCCTGCAACAAGAACCGTTCAAAAAAAAACACCTTGAAGAAAATAATTTTTCAATGTCAATATTCTGTGCTGATTCACAAAATGTATCTTATGGTAAAAACTTTTGCAGACAATCAACACTAAAATCTGAAAAATATGTTCACTTTTCAGATTTGTTATGATTGATTATGAAATATTCCCTAAATTAAAAGGATAAGATAGATTCACGATACAGAAATTCATTCGTATCTGTTTGTAACATTGTTACCATCTGGTAGTTATGATACGAATGACTGCACAAAATGAAGTATACGAAACTTCAATGCATTGTGAAACAATTCTGTGCATTTGTTATTTCAGTACATATGACCATATGTTGGCGTATTACGTGTCTCAGTAATACGAATGGACTTCCTTATGGTGGTCGCTCACTTCGGCATATAACAGTTCGTCCCTTACTATTCGTCCGAAATTTTTCGTCCTAAATACTTTTTGTCCTGTTCCATTTTGTCCTTGTAGAATTCGTCCTAAAAAAAGTTTGTCCTATTACATTTGGTCATGTTACTCTATGTCCCAATTTTTTTGTCCTTTTACATCTCGTCCAAATTTACTATTTTCTCACATATTTTATCGNATTTTCAGTTACAGTTATGCTTTCATCCGATGATCATTCCCAAAGAAAATTTCACTTTTACTTTGAGAAAGAAGTTTTGATAATTTTCGTTTTGTTCTATATTCGGCCCATTTCAGCCCATGGGTGATCCTTTGAAATTTCGGCCCATGGGTGCCATTAAAATTTCGGCCCATGGGTCGAATGGGCCGGGCCGGGCCGGGCCAAGCCCGGCCCATTGAGACCTCTGCTCAGAGCAGAAGGCCGACCTGGCTTAAAGTTCTTGCGATCAATTACTTGAAATCTTTATACACATGAACTAACGATATAACTAGCTAGAAGAGCAAATATATGTTAGAACGTAGTCAGCATGCTATCGAACAGTTGGTCCGAGATGAACTGTCGTTAGTGGCTTGTCCAGGGTCATTTTATGGCTTATGGTACCGAGATGTTCACATAGTACCTTGTGAATACGTGTCAAACTACGTCCCTACTCAGTCATGGCATCTTTAAATAAGAATAATTTGATAACATGTTATTAAAATAAATTGATGTATAAATGAGACGAGCTGCTTATCTTCTTGAACATATTTGATAAAGAATAAAAGAATATTAACTTGAATTATACAATCAGTTGAATATAATTAGAATGATTAAATTCAGTATGAGATAGTTTATGAATAAATATTAAATTAGTTTGTAAAAATTAAAAATTATTTCTATCGAATATCAGATGACATATGAGACGTAATTTATCTTGCGCCATAAATTAGTTTGAAATAAATTTTAGTTTTATTATAATATAAATTAGAAAACTTGTATTTTTATCAAACTATAAATTTGAAGATTTGTATTGAATGATTGAGTTTATTGTAATGTCTGTTCTATCATCTATCTACAGGTCTTCATTTAATACTTAAAATTTTGTAAAAAAAAAAAAACAATTATTCGGTATTTGATCTTTTATTCTTTATATGAATAAGTTTAAGAAAAACAGATAGAAAATTAGAATTTGAAAAAAAAAACAGAATGTACATACGCAATGCAGTATTAATAAGCTGTTAAAAGATAAATACGCACCGTAAAGTTTTGAAAAGTAAAAAAAAAAAAAAAAAGAATATAAATCTTAATTGTTTTCAATAGCGACATGTATGAACAAAGTTGAATAAGTTAGATTATTATTTTTAGCTCTCAAATGAATATGACGATATCCTACAGATGAAATAAAAATAATAAATTTTGAAAATTAATTTCGTTGAACATTACCTGTTTGCATAGTTGTCATTGGTAAACAAAAATACGCAATTCTATCATCTTTTGTAAATATATCATAATCATAAATATCAAAACGAACAAGACACATTTGTGGAAAATAAATATTAAATTGAAATGTTTCATTCCATAATGGATCAAATCCATTATTTTCTATAAATTTTGTTCTTTGTGATTGTTGATCAGATGATATTCCATGTGTTGATACAACAACATATGGATCTGGTATATCTCTTGTTGTTTCATTTGATCGAGATAAAAATTGTCCACTAATTATAGTTATTATTAAACGTTGAGAATATTCAAATATATTATATCGTAATATAGATGGTTTTTCTAAATAATCAAATGGATTAAATTTATTTTCATATTGATTAATTAAATATTTTGGTTTAAGTATATAACCACATCCACCATTATCAATAAATTTTCCATAAGATAATGACATAATTAAATCATCATTTTGAAAATTTAATGCAACCATATGAATACCAAAATTCCAAGCATTTATTGGATTAGGATTACTTGAATCTTGTCTTAAACCATCTGGATACATTCGAAATGAACTTTTTCTTGTTTGTTTAATTAAATTTATTGGATCATTTCGTGACATTTGATCAAAATGTTTTTCAGCAAGATTTGGTGAATGACAACATGAACCTATTGAAAGATTTATTTTATATTTTATTTTATTTAATAGAGATAAATATGTTTTTTACTGACAATTATCTTTATCTTCTTCATATTGAAGATAAGGTATATTTTGAAAATAAATAAAAAGTTTACCTAAATCATGTTCAATAACCTAAAATAGAATTTTCAAAATAAATAATTATTAAAACAAATAATTAAATAAACATAATTTGCTTTGTGGATTAAAAATATTATTGTCGTAATCGATTTCTCCTATTTCGAATAATTTACTAATTGTTGTCGGTTTTGCTATTTTTACACCCTAATAAACAATTATTATGTATTTATTTTAATAAATTTTTGTTAATCATTTATTTGAAAATATTAATTTACTCGAATAAGAACTTTATATTTCAGATCTTCTGGCGATGGTAAAACTGATGAATCATTTGTAGTTAGAAGTTCAGTTACTAATCGATCTTTAGAAAGCAAAAATAGAAAACAAAGTTTTTTATTTAATTATTATAAAATTCACCTCCGAGAACTTGTTTTAGAATACGAGCCATCTCATGTTGTTGTTCAATTGAACAATGATTTTCAAGATCAAGTATAACTGGATATGGTGATGTTTTAAAAAGATTCGGTTCTATAAAACGAATAATAGATTCAAATAAACATGGTTTTACAAGTGTATATCCATGTTTAACTATTGGTCGACCATTAGCACCATCATAACAATCAATTTCGACTGCACGACAACCTGCACATAATGCTCGATTATATGCTTCAGGATTACTATCTCCAGATATTTGATTAGTAAATAGATAACTAAAATACAACGAATATTATTTAATTATTTTTAAAAATTGATTTTTTTTATACGTATTATGTGATGTGTTAATATAATAATCAGTCAATGGTCTAAAAATCAAAATAATAGTTTATTATTCAAAAAATTTAGTCTTCATTACTATACCTTGTCATATCTTGATAAATATGACGAGAACACCATGGTTTCATCAGAGAAAAGTCGTCGGATAATAATAAGTTTCTAAAGCCTAAAAAATAATTATATTTATCTTTAAGGTCATTCCTCCTAAACAATCGATTTTTATAAAAAAACAGACACATTTTCAGATAAACATACAGCCTATGTAAAAAAAAAACATCATACGAAAAATCGATTCTAAATCCATTAGAATAAAAACAATGAAAAATAAAGAAATTTGATTGACTATTTTGATTACTTATCATTAAAATTGATTTAATAAATCACAAAAAAATAGTCTATAGTTACACATACTTTATTTAAAAAAAAACTTTTTGTACAATTTTAAATCGGTTTTTTCTCTTTTGTATGCGATAAATAGATTTTGTATACGATCTTCAATATCAAAGTAATCATGGACTTTCTAAAAAATATCGGTTAACATTTTTGGAGTTTTAAGATTTTTTAAGGACTCAAAAATGAAATAAAATAAAAGATCAACAAGAAATTCTTTTTGAAATGAGGATATTCCAAGTGCTGTAGTTTTGAAATATATTGAAAACAAAAATTGTATGTATGAAAGAAGATTTTTGCATCATGACTTCTGGAAATCTCCTGAACGATGAGGTTTGGAGTTTTGAAAACTTTTTTAATAGTTTATTTTTATTAGTCAAACATGTTTATAAAGTTTCATAGAAATCTTCTATACTATATCGAAACTCGATTTTGGAGATAAATAAAAAGGTCTAATCTCAATTTATCAATCTATAATAAATACGAAATAAATATTGATTGTTTACAAATAATACAAACCATTCAAACTAAGTTGACCATTTTCTTGTAATTCAACATCTGTTTCAAATTCATCGATTAATTTTTGTACTTGTTCACGTTGAGTAATTGAAACAAGTGAATAATCAGATGTTGATTCATTTGATTGATATTTTATTATTGTTTGCTAAATAAAAACAAAATAATATATTTATTTTTATTGAAAATAAATAAAATTGAATTAATTTACATTTTGACTATTTTGAAGAAAATATAAAAGTTCATCGATATTCATAGAAATACTATCCATAGATTGTTTATCACCATCTTTGACATATCTTTACTAAGAAATTTTAATTTAGATAATTAAATTATATTTATTCTCTTACTGTTGCATTATTGCATAAAGATCTTTGCGACGAGTAAGTACATGAAAGAAAGTTATAAATTCATCTGATGTCAAAACTTCTTTGCCACTTTTATCTGCCTTCTAAAATATTGTAAATAAAAAATAACGATAACTATGACAAAATTCAAATCTTCTATACTTTGAAAAGTATTTCAAAAGTACTATTTGATACTTTTGCATTGAGTAAATCTATAAGTAGTCGACGGCACTCGCTTTTTGTCAATGTACCAGATTCATCTTTATCAGCCAAGCAAAAATAATTCAATATCCAACTAAGTAAAATAAACATAAATAAAAATTGTTACTCAAAATTATATAATTGTTTAATTATTCGAAGAAATAGAAAAAAGTTTTTTTTCTCTCCCGTTCTCTCATATATTCATTTTGTCAAAGAATGCAACAATAACAATAAAACTTTTATCTTCAAATTAAAAAAAAAAAAAAAATAATTGTTATTAATCATATTTTTCATTTTCAAGATTCTCTCTTCATTTGTATATATTCTATTCAAAGATATAATATATACAAATATCGTCAATATAACTATTGTACTTGTATATAGTTTAGCTTGATCTTTCAAATAGATACTTGTCCGTATAATTATATTTGAGTAAGAGATAACTGTTAGTGCAAGCATTGTGAGATTAAAATATGAGACACGACGTTGTTGCTCATCCTAATCAACAGAAGATTTTTTTAATTCTATCTATTGTCAGATATATATCTTCATTATACTTTTACTTGATCCTTGAGAAATTCAATAAGAATTTAATTCATTTATTATAACGAGACTTTATTGATACACGGTCTTTGACTGTATATCAACAACATTTGTCACAATCTCTGAAAAGGAGAAGATACAAATTTCTATTCACGGACTTCAACATTCATTTTAGATTGTGTTGTATTAAATAAAAAACTTCCATTTCTTATATTTAATTATAGTGAAAGTACAATAGTTAGTATTTTTACTTGAGGTATGAATAAAATATATAGAATGATTAAGATTGATTATCTCTGACAAGTTTTTAAAGTCTAACATAATATTATATTATAATTTTTTAAACCATATATTTCTATTGTTTGATTTTTCATGAAAATCTTATAAACGTTTTAAAATGATAATACTTGTTTGATTTAATATCAAGACGAAATATAATTCTCGATGAAATTAAAAAAATCCTATGTCAATTGAGATTCGTGATTTATAATCTCAAACAGATTATTGCTTTGCTGTCGCTTAGAATTACTGAGAAAGTTTTTCTAATAGTAACTGAAAGAATACTTCAAATATATGAAATTGAAAATAAACGTGTTCATTTTCTATCTCTAATCTTATCGAAGATTCAAAGAATAAAAAAATAAATAACATTTTAGAAAATGAAACAAACATTTTCATCAAGAAAATTCCTTAGATTTAATTAGATATTATATTCATTACATTTTATTGATTTTAATCACTTTTATAATCGATGAACATTCATATTTATGTTCGTTTCATTATCTGAAAAGTTTTTTTTTTACGACTTTAACTCAAAAGTTCTACAACTCGTGAATATTTTTTTTTATTTTCAAGTTTTTAAGTGTTTTTTTTTAAAATAAAGATGATAGAATATTTAACATGAATGTGTGTAGGAGATAAATATGAGACGATTATATGATCCATAAAATAAATAAAAGTATAAATAGAGTTCCTAAATGTTATTTGTTCTTGATAATTTTATTGCACATTTCAACATATTTAAAGTTAGTTCTTTTTGTTCTACATTACTCAAAATAATTGTAAATCGAAAAAAGAAAGAATTAAACAAAATAATACATATTAAACTATTTAATAAAAATAAAACGTTTTTCTTATGTATATTACTAAAGCATAAATAATGTGAATTTGTTTCTTACTTTGTTTCAGTAATAACATGTCGTTGGCGTTTTTGAGTATGTGTGTATATCAAATGTTGTAAACCTTGTACCCATGCATCTCTCGTCTGTTCATCATTTGCCATTAAATGAAGTTCATCTCGATAATTATTGTAGAAGAGAGAGAAAGCACGTTTTTCCTATATGTTACATATTATTTCAGAGACGTATTAATATTAACAATAAACATTTATCAAGATAAAATATTTCATTTTACTTTTTATTTTTAAGATTCTTACATTTACACTAACAATTCTATAGTAGTTATACTCTTTAATATATTAAATTGATGAATATAGAAAACATAATAAAAGTCATTATACAATACTTTATTATTTATTAAGATATACGATTTTCCTCTAATTCGAAAAGTTAAGAGATTTACAATTGAACTTTACAAACGAAAAACGCTATAAATATTCATCATTTTATATATTATATTGAGTTGTAAACACAGATTGATACAATAGAAAATCTTTCATTTTGTTTGTTGAAAAACATAGAAATTAATTTAAAGATAAAATAAACTGAGTTATTTAAAAAACATCTACGAAATTATTGTACAAATACAATTGAATGTAATTATACTTACGTCATCTTGTTCGACAATTTTATGTCTGAAAAGTCGATCAAATGTTCGAGTTTGAAAACCAGGACGAATTTCGTTCATTTTATGAATATAATCTATGTTTAAAATATAGATATTAGTTTTATCTGTCAAAAAAAGTTATAAATATAATGAGAAGTTCATTTCTCATAAAGCATCCTTCCATAATAGTTTATAAGTATCTGTTTACTTATACTTCTAAATTTATTTGTTTGAAATTTTATCTTTTATAAATGATTGAGTTTATTTAAAATCAAATTATTTTACTCGTCTATATCAAGACTTACTCGAAGAAAGAAGGAAGATCGTTAACTGATGAAATACTACTCCTTCTCTCATTTCTATTACTCGAAATTAAGTTTCTAATTTTCTCAATAGACAATTCCGATGTCACCAATCAATTGTCGTTCAAATTAGATCGATGAACTTTATTAAGGTTGTACATCTTTATTTTCAAAACTGAATATTATCAATCTTCTTTTTTTCAAGTCCTTTTAAGTAAATTATATATCAAATAAAAATTCTTTCTTTTCTCTATCGAATGGCATATATGAGTATGATAAAATATTGTTTTTTTTTTCATTTTTTCTTTATATTACATTGATCACTTGTATATACCAGTATAAAGATATTCAGAACAAAAATTTCATCAATATTCAATTGTAAATGCAGCGACTCAATTCGAATTATATGTTATTGAATAGACTTTTCAAAACTCTACACAATGATAGTAATGCATTCACCTTAATTTGTTCTCAAAGATAATTTAATCAAGGACAGAATGCTCAAGAGTATCATAAGTTACTATTTTCGACTGATATTTAACGAGCTTTAGGCAGAACAATGATATTACCTCTCTAAACAAATGACATATTTGAAATGAGCATAAAAAATTGAGCCGATCTATCTATGTCACAAGATCTTTTGATAATGTTTATTTTCGTCGAAAAGTATTGCTTTGTTCCTCCTTAAAGTTAACGTCGAAAAATAAAGTCAATCGAAGCATTGTTTTTGTTATTTATTAATGTGTCAGTTTAGATTCTGCTAAATCTTTAAAAATTTAGTAATGTATTTTCACAGTCAAATTGATATTTTGACTAACTTTATTTTCCTACGTATCCTTAACCTTGACGGAGATCAGGACTGAAATTTTCGATGAAAACAGAAGTCACCGGAGGATTTTTATGACGTATAGAAATCGACTGAGATTTTTTATGAGAATTCCAAATATGTCATTTGTTGTGATAAAAGACTTCATTACTCTGACCAAAACCTGTCAAATATCAGTCAAAAAGAGTAGCTTTTGGTACGTACTCTAGAACATGATGAATTTGACTAAAGTGTTTTGACTATATATCGTATTCAACAGAATACTATAACATTCTGTAAAATTTTGAAAAGTCTACATAATGATATATAATTCGAAATAAATCACTACTAGGTCAAAAGTAAAGAAGTTTTTTCATGGATAGTCTTCCCATGTAAAAATAAATCCTATAAAAATTTTAAAAAATCGAGTTTTAATCGATTTTGTGTGGTAATCAATGGTAGAATTTTGACATAGTTGTGTTTTTTTTTCATTAAATAGAAGTTATTTCTTTATAATTATGAAATCATTTTTAATGAAAAGTAATCAGAATAATTGATGAAATTTTTATAGTTTTTATTATTTTTTGATTATAATCGATTAAAAATTGATTTTGTAATCGATAATTAATCGATTAAAGATATATGTTCGTAATTCATGTTGCATCAAATTTTTTTTTTTTTGCATTAATTTTTTTTTACATGGCTCATATTTTACATACAAGCGAACAGCAAGTGACCACTTAAAGAAAAAAGAAAAAGGACAATATTTTGATATACTTCCATGTGTCATTCGACAGAGAAGAAAAGAAGCCCTTTTCATTTAACATAATTCAAATCGAAAAAATTGAAGATGAGATAAAAGATTTTTAGAAAAAGACTGCATAGCATGAAACTGTAAAAGATATAGAATATAAAGTTTTGAAGTCAGACATACCCAACTTCAATGAGGTCTAACTGTCTAATCCGAATATGACAATTGATTTGTAACATTCGAATTAACTATTAGAGAAATAAGAAAATAAATATTTTGAGATGATCAATTTCATTGATTACCGGTTACCCTGATTTTTTTCTCGACATAATTTATAGTTTTCAATAAAAAAAAGAAAAAACAAAATTTCTATTAATACTTACAACGATTTGGTTGTGCAAACACTTTTTCTGATTGATGATAAGATATAAAATATTCGAATTCATCGAGAAAGAAGTGTCGAGAATACTTTTCACCATTACGTTTTCTTTTTGTTAATACTGAGCCACTCTTTAGCTCGGTTAGCATTCGAGCTATATATTTGTCATTTGTTGAAAACATTTTTTTTTTCTGTTATGTGTCTCTTACCTCTCCTTATAAGTTTCTAACAAAGAGGAGAACATATAAAAAAGAAATAGCGTCAACAAAAAATGAGTCATTAAAATATTTGAATAATTAAGAATATTGTCCTTCACATACGAAAAGAAAAGTAAAAAGAAAAGGTATCATTGAAAATATATTATTTGCCCTTCTTCACTTAAAATGCTCCGATCTTTTATAACATATTAGAAGACGAAATAATTAAAATCTACTGTAACAGTACTATGTCATGATAACTGATCGAAAATTATCTATTAATCATAGTACTTTATGCTTGCAGCTTTTTTTCTTCCCACTACACCAATATTTAATAAATCTTAAAAACATTGATGAAATGAACCAAAATTGTGCATCATAGTTATCACGAGGGCGTTCAAGCTGTAATTACTAACTAAATCAGTTATTTAACCTAACTGAAATATTTAATTATTAATTGAAGATGGCGCCAAAACAATAGTTATACGATAATGGAATGTTCTATACTCTGGAATAATAAAGAGTCGATATTTTTGTAAATTATAAGTTGACATTTTAATGATAGATAATATCAATTTGACAGAATTATCCATATCAATTTTTAAAAAAGTGTAAATTGTTTGAGTAAATGTTTTTGTTTTTGTTTTATAGAATTCTGATCTATGAGAAGTTTTGAAGGAAAATAGTCTAAATAATGTTCTCTCGAGATATATTTAACTATGTTTATAGTGAAGATATTGCATCATGATGAGTATATATATTATGTTAGATAAATCTTCTAAAAGTTGACTATTTGTTTAATCCGAATGTTATCTGAATAAAGATAAATTATCAAATTTATAAAAGTTCCAAAAATTACTGAATAGTTAACTAAAATAGTATTGTTACATTAGTTTACATTATTGAGCTACAAATTATATTATTTTGATATCTAGAGATAATTATGTTTAATAAGCAAAGTATTTTTCATTGTTCTGATATTATTAAATGGTAGAAATATATCTACTATATTAGAGGCTTTTTTCCATACTAAATATAATCGTATATACTTTATGAATATGAATGACGGTTGATGATGATAGTAATGATAAAGTGAGAAATGAACTCTGTAATTGAAAGAGAAAAGAATACCCTCTTACTCTTAAGGTTATCATTATAGGATGAGAAAGTTTTATCCAAAATTTGAAGCTGAACTGTTGATAACGACTAGAAATTTTTCGACTGGAAACTTTGAAATTCATATTTCTGAATCATTAAAATCATGAAAACCGATAAAAACAAGCAATGTACATTAAATAGTTCTATTCTCCTAAAAATTGATAAAAAAATCATTAAAGATCGGTAAAAATCAACTGATTACAAAAAATACAATAAAACCGTATTGGCAACTCGTAAACGAGTTGGCGTAGTATTGACTCCAAGTCTAAATCTAATAGAATAATTTGTGATGAGATTTATTGATTTTTATGATAATTTAAAAAACATGAAATCAATTTTTTTCTCTCTTAGAATATATTATTATGTGATGATACTACAAATAATGATGTGATTTCAAAGGCATCGATAACAAATTTAAGAGCAAATTAAAAGTTTCTTGATAGAATAATTTATCATGATATACATATAAATAGAGTTTGAGTCGAATGTGTCGAAATTATCTTCTATGTATAATCAAAACGCCTTTTGAAATTCATCTGCATTTAAATGCATTTATGCAATGAAACACATTCAAGGTTGGATATTTAAAATTCAAAGAATAAATAATATTGTTTTTTTAAATTCGAAATTAGGTTTCATAAAAGTCATGTTATGATGATCGTGACTTATTATGAAAAACGGAATAAATAGATCCTTAAAACGATCAAAGTGACATTTGAACATGAAAAAGACTGATAAGAAGTTCTATATATATACACAATTGAGCTATACAACCTCAAAATGTTTTCTTGTTCAAAAAGAATATTTTTAAATTTTAACTGAATAATTTAAAATTATCAGTATAATACCATTCACTTCTTTATCAATGAAATATTACACATTTAGTGTAGTTTTATATTTTTTTCAATCAACACAACAATGTTTAGTGATGAAAGATATATTTTTCTCTCTTTTATGTATCTTAGTTGGTGTCACGAAATAAATTTTACTTTTTTTTTTGATACACAGATCGAATAATTTCCTGACTTGAATATCAACAGGAAAGTGTCGAATCCAACAATTGAAAAAAGTCGACAATACTTAGGATCCAATGGGATCATACTGGATTTGCATATAGATGCCAGACATTATTTAAACTGTTGCTTTGATCATCTTCTTTTATTCGGTTTTCCACATTCAATTGACTTAAAACTTAAAAATTAAATTCTTCTTTATTTTTACTTTATATGTTATGTAAAAGTCTTTCCAATAATGTCATATTACCATTCTTTATTTCGACTTCTAAAGAAAGAAAATTCTTTTTGTTAGAAAAAGCAATGTCTGAACTTCAAATTTTGTATGAGATATATTTTTCCAGGATGAACCTGACAAGTACGAAAAAGTTCAAAGTCAAACATCTCTAAAACAGTATTTACAACGTTTTTCCAACTTGAAAAGTTTGTTTTTCTGAACTATTTTTAGCTACATGAACAAATTGAATTCGAATAAAAATATATGAAAATGTAGATCATGAAAAAAGTTTATCAATATTAGCTTTGATAAAATTTGTTAGATCTATTCTCAACTTCTTGATCAAAACAAGTTTGAAAAATGAGTTTTTTGTAAACAATAGCCTTTTCCGAGAAGTATCACTTTGCAAGAATATCAGCCACTATCTTTAGAAATTATACATGAATTAAATTATGTTTTCACGATTCACGATGTCCCATGGGCTTATCGCCCGTTGGGGCCAACCACTGATCGGATAATGTTTTTCCATTGTCTCCGATTTTGCGCCAGATGGAACAGGTCTTGTCCACTGTGTCCACACCATTCTATGATATCGTCCAGCCATTCTCTACATGGACGTCCTCTTTTTGATTTGCCATTGATTCGAGAGAATACGGTGTGTTTTATCAGNAATTTATTATCATATTATTATTTGAAGTATGATCAAATAGCATAGCAAAATAGAGCACTCTTTTCTCTATTAGACTATATAGAAAGAAAGTTTTTTTTAAGCTTACTATATGGCTATGTAACGTCGTGATCAGAACTTTTGGTACACCCTAAGTAAATGTATATGATGTTATGCTCTTTAATGCACTGCTTCGCAGCATAACTCGAGAAAATTTGTCACAAAAATAGTTGAAAATATTCTTATACGCATGAGCACATTAGTATTATCCAAAAGAGTCTAACCTGTTCCAATGAAAAATAGAGTAAAGTCGATTTATTACAATCCTGACCAACTTAAATACAGTTTCAGGAAAATTTGATGATGAAGCATAATTTGACAAAAATATAAACTTATTTTAACGAATTCTTGTGTATGAATTGAAAACAATCCACATTGCGTTCTTTCATATTCAAGAATAAAGAAAAAGAAAATATGCATGATCATAAAATAAAGGTAAATATAACTGTCTATTTTTAGAAAAAAATATAAAGTTAAAATGAATAGCAAATATTTTTTTCAGTAAATATGAGACATAAATAGAACACTCATGAGATGTAAAGTTTGTTATTACACTGAAATATTCAGCATCTGATCTCATACGTCTGTTTTTTTTTTATTGTATATGATTTCATAAAACAGATTTCGCTTGTTTAAGTTCAGTTTACTTTCTTTAATAACAGTTGTGAAAACTATTCTTCATATAAGATGATCGTCTAATATATTAATCAGTTATCTTAATATATTAATCCGGATATAAGTAAGATACATAGGGCTATCGTGACGCAATTGATATGATTCAATGGTTTATATCACGGATCAATATTTGTGATGCTATTGATACTCGTTCATTTAAACAGCTTTTACTTGCTTTGTTTGACGTTGATAATTAGCTGTTTTAATAGGATATTGAGTAGTAATAGTTACATATTGAAATCATATCCTGAAACAATTACTGAAGACCATGATGAAAAAATTAATTTGATCGAACGGCTTCAAGGACTATCGATTTTCGTGATAAAACATGAGAACAGAAAAAAATATGATGCATTAGTTTGTCAATTTTCTCTTCTTTTGCTGCTCAATATTCGTATGTACTGTGTCTTCATTTTTTAATATATGACAAATATGTTTTTTATATAAATTTCTCTTTTCTTTGATTGGCAACAACATTCTATGAAAAATACTTTGATAAATTGATATTTTCTTCAACTCATATAGATAAACTCATGGTTACATAGGGTATTATAAGATATAGGTTTTGCAATCTGTCTCTATTTGGTTTTTCAATTTCATAGAAATCTAAACGTTACTAAATTGCATATAAAAACGAAAGCAAAAACTTTATTTAAAGCAAACTATAATTGACATCAATTATACATTTGTTTATCATTTCAAACACATTATCAAATAATGAGGAGGCAATCGTAAAAGGCAAATGATGAAATAAATGAAAAAGAAAACGAAATATGACGGCAAAAGGATAGAACATGTGGGATGATGATGACGCATTTCGTTTGGTTGTTTTACTGTTTGCGACACACGCAATTCTTTCGTTCTGTACATCAACAAACGTGTTCGTCGGAAAAAAACAGCTACTTATTTTTAAGCGTATATAAATGAGAAATTTTTTATGCTGACGAAACGAAAAAAGAAAGCAAAATCATTCATAATAGTATTTTTATTCCCTGTGGTAAGTACATTACTAGAATTTTTGTTTGTACAAAAATATTCATTATTGTAACGCTCAATACTTATGTGATAAAAACTTAAGTTAATGTCAATAACCACGGAACCATCATTATTGAGTGAAATAATCGCCACCTCTCATGAACAACAATCTCAAGAAATAAACCGAACTAAAAACAAAGAGGATATAACTATCATTTGTTTTGATACGAAAACTGAATTATATGATAATATAGAATATTTGAAGATTCGATTGCGCCAAATTAATGATTATATTGTTTTTCATACTAAACTCGAATCATGCATCACATCAATTCAATCCATTGAAAAGGAAAAAGTTTTCTTAATTACATCTAGCTCACATATTTCCCAAATTTTGCCGTGTATTAATACTCTTCAACAAGTAGACGCCATTTTTGTATTCTGTTCGAAAAGAGATCATTACGAACATTTAGTTATTGAAAATTCAAAAATAATTGGAATTTATGATGAAATTGACTTACTGTGTTCGTCAGTTCAAGAGCAAATAGAGTTTGCCAATAAAAAATTATATACATGGACTTTTTATGATCAAGATAAATATGGAAAAAAAGACTTATCAAGACAATCTAGTGATTTTCTTTGGCTTCACCTCTTTCATGATGTTCTTTTACATTTAACACATGATGAACAAGCCAAAAAACAAATGATCAACGCATGTCGTCATTACTATCAAGACAACCTGAAGGAACTTGCGTTGATTGATAAATTTGAACTGGAATACAACTCAAAAGAAGCTATTCATTGGTATTTGAAAAGTTCCTTTCTTAGGAAAATGATTAACCAATCATTGAGAACCGAAGATACTGATCAACTTTATAAATTACGATATTTCTTGTATGACATTGTAGAAAATCTTACATGTGAACATCAACAAATCATTGAATCAGGTAAAAAAAAATTAAGTTTTTATCGAGAAATGCAATTAACACATAATGAACTTGACGAACTGAAAGAAAACGTCGGCAAACTGATTATAATGAAAACATTTTTAACAGCAAGTTATGTTCGTTCATCAGCACTAAAAACAGCTACAAAGCTTACAAATCCACTGAATAATATTTCTGTGCTTTTTGAGATCGAATGTGATCTAAAAGAACTTGGCAACAATATTATATTTGCTGATATCACTCAATTCAGTGAAGCTTCCTGTCAAGAAGAAATTTTGTTTGATTTAAATACAACATTTCGATTGGAAAATATTCAACACGATGAACAATTGTGCCTTATCAAAATAATCGCAGTAAATGATGGACGAACTATTATAAATAAATATATTTATGATATACATCGTCAAATAAAAGACTTAACTATTCCAATTATCTTTGGTAGATTAGTATGTGATATGAGTGAATGGGATCAATCACAAAAATATTTTGAATACTTATTGAATGATTCACATGATATAGATATTGCATGGATAGAACATAGTATTGGTCAAGCTCTTCATTGGAAAGGACAATGGACTGAAGCAAGAAAATATTATGATTGTGCCTATAATCGAATGATGAAAGATGAATCAGTTCGTATTAAGGACTCGGCTGATGTTCTTTCTAACATTGGTGAAATATTACATCTGGAAGGAAGATATGAAGAAGCTTATGATTTTCACCAACGAGCATTAAAGATTCGAAAGGAGTATTATCCTTCTAATCATGCACACATCGCTACTAGTCTCGAGAACATCGGTCTCATTCATTATCAACAATTAAAGTATGATGAAGCACTTGAATTTCTTCAACAATCACTGATTATTCGAGAGAAATATTATAACTCTTTTCATGTTGATATTGCTATTAATTTAACTAACATTGGTTGTATCTTCACTGATCAAGGAAAGTATGACGAAGCATTTAATTATCATCAACGAGCAATGTCAATCTACGAAAAATATTATTCATCGGGTCATATTTTTATTGCGTCTACTCTTAATAATATTGTTGATGTTCTTTACAGACAAGAAAAATATGAAGAAGCTCTCGATACAGTTCAACAAACATTGATAATGCAAAAGAAATATTATCCATCTGATCATATTGAGATAGCTACTAGTCTTAGCAATATAGGAAATATTAAATATGGACAAGGCAAATATGACCAATCTTTAGATTTTCATCAAAAAGTGCTGACTATGCAAACGAAATGTTATTTCTCGGGTCATATAAGTATAACATGTACTTTAAATAATATTGCCTATATACTTCTTAATGGAAAAGAAAACTATGATGAAGCTCTAGACTTTAATCGACGAGCTCTTACAATTCTAGAGACATATTATCCATCTTATTATGGACATATTGCTCAGAGTCTCATCTATATCGGTAACAATTTAAGCAAACAAGGAAAATACGATGAAGCTCTTGATTCATATAAACAAGCTCTAACAATGCAAGAAAATTATTTTTCTTCTGATAATATTAATATTGCACATAGTCTTAGTAATATTGGAAATATTCTTAGTGATCGAGGAGAATATGAAGAAGCTCTAAATTATCATCAACAAGCAATTACAATCTATAAGAAATCTCATCCATCTGATTATACTAATCATGCAAATAGTCTTAATGACATTGGAAAAATTCTTTATCGTTTAGGAAAGTATAATGAAGCCTTCGAATATCATGAAAAAGCTCTTCATTTACAGAAAAAATACTATGAATCCAATAATGCTCATATTGCTAATAGTTTTAATAATATGGGTATTATTCGTTATGGTGAAAGCAAGTATGATGAAGCTATTGAGTTTTTTCAACAAGCATTAACAGTTTATGAAAAATATTCTCCATTGCGTCAAGCAGATATTGCTACAATTCTCAGTAATATTGGACGCAGTTTTAATCATCAAGGAAAATATGACGAAGCATTTGAATATCAACAACGAGCACTTAACATTCGAGAAACTCATCTTTCTTCAGTTTATATTAATATTGCTGATAGCTTTAATCATTTAGGCAATATTCGTAGTAATCAAGAAAATTATGATGAAGCTATCGATTTCTATCAACAAGCATTAACAATCTATGAGAAACATTGTTCATCACGTTATTCAGACATCGCTACTACTCTTAGTAACATTAGCAATACACTATATAAACATGGAAAATACGATAAAGCATTTGATTATCAACATCGAACATTGAATATTCGAGAGATTCATACTCCTTCTGCTTATACTGATATTGCTGTTGGTCTTAATCATATGGGTAACATTCTAATTGGTCAAGGAAATATTAGGGAAGCAATTGATTTGTATCAACAAGCATTAACAATCTATGAGAAATATTGTTCATTTCGTCATGCAGATATTGCTACTACTCTCAGTAACATTGGTAATGCTTTACATAAATATGGAAAGTACGAAGAAGCATTTGAACATCAACAACGAGCACTAGACATTCGAGAAAAACATTGTCCATCTTCGTATATCGATATTGCTATTAGTTACAATCACATGGGCATTATTCGAATTGCTCAAGAAAAGCATAATGAAGCTATTGATTATTATCAGCGAGCATTAACCATTTTCGAGAAATATTCTCCATCGCGTCAAGCTGATATTGCCACAACTCTTAGTAACATTAGTAATGCTCTATATAAGCATGGAAAGTACGATGAAGCAATTGAATATCAACAACGAGCATTGAATATTCGAGAAAATCATTATCCATCAGATTATATGAATTTAGCCGATAGTTTTAATCATATGGGAAACATTCAAAGAGGTCAAGGAAAATATGCTGAAGCTGTTGAATTCCATCAACAAGCATTGGAAATTTATGAAAAATATTTTTCATCTCGTCATGCCGATATTGCTGTCATTTTCAGCTTAATCGGAAGTAGTTTAAGTCGTCAAGGAAAGTATGATGAATCTTTTGACTTTTATAAACGAGCTTTGATTATTTACGAAGAACATTATCCTACTGATTATACTGAAATTGCTCGTTATCTACAATGGATTGGTTTCATTTGTTATACAAAATCAGATTTTGATCATGCTATTGAATATTATGAAAAATGTCTGCAAGTTAGAGAAACTAGTCTAACTCCAGGACATTCATCGATTTCTGAAACTTTGTCGTATTTAAGTGAAGTGCAACAAGCACGTGGTCATCATGAACTCTCTTTGGCATATGAACTGAAATGCTTCTTAATACGTGAAAAAGTTCTTCCACCAAGTCATATTGACATTGGTAAAAGTTTGTCCAATATAGGTGAATGTTATGAGCAACTTCATCAATTGAAATTAGCATTTGATTACTATAAACGAGCATTAAACATTTATGAACAATGCTTACCATACTCCAATCAAGATCGATACAATATAGAATTAAAGATTGAACGACTTTCCGAAGAAATTGAAGAAAACTAAATTAATGAGTTTGAACATTTAAATCAAAATTCTCAATTCTAATGTCTTTCACCATGTTTGTAATGCATCTTTATTGTTGTCTTATTCTAATTTCACGACATATTAGCTTTCATTATTCTTTTCATGTGTTTTTTGCAAACTAAATAAATAAATAAATAAATAAATACATTACAATTACAATTACTTTTATTCTATCAATTTTACAAGGATATGAGGAAAAAAAGGTTCAACAACATATCAATCATTCATAAATCATTTGAAACTTATGTTGAATGTGATTCAAACTCAATTGATTGTTTGTGCCGAAGAGAACTTTTGAGTTTCACTGTAGATCTTCTTCAATATTTTGTGAAAGAAATTAAATATAGAAAAAGATGGTTGGTTTGTTATTGATGTAGTTCGTGGAGATTGCTTGAATCGATAATTCATAAACAAGATTTGTTCTAACCTGAAATAACATATTAGAATTCAATCTGAATTTTTTTCATCCATTCCATTTTGACAATTGTTTTTTAAAGATAATTACTGAAAGAAAGATTTACCGCTTTGTATATATCGCATATAGTGAATGAAACTTAAAACTTGAAACTTCATATCTTTTATAGATTCGTCAAAGATGCATAGAAAGACTTGAAATACATACTCAAAAATGTTTTCTTTAATTTTTGTAATTACGTTTTTTCGAAAAATACCAAATTAATACTGTTATAGTTAACATTAGTCTTCACTTTTACTCAAATATTTTTCGCTGATTGCTGTCAATTATCTCTTGTTGCATTGTTTATCTTTCTATTATCTAAAGTGATATTTTATGCAGAAGACTGAAATAGATATACGATGATTTGAATCAAAATATTTTCAGTTCAGAAGAGTATGTTTGCGGATATTCTGAATGTTTCATTTAGAGTATGATAAATTGTTGTTTAACAAGTAATAAATTATAAAATTAAATAATTAGATAAAAAATGAACGTCATCTATTTCAGAAAAATTCTACTCAGAATCTACCAAGAGTATCAATGTTTGCAAGTATTACACCACAAAAAAGAGTCAATCAAATTTTTCTTTCTTGAAAAGTTAGAGCTAGTGGCCCTGATTTTTGACAACTAATTTAACTTGTTATATTAATTTATCAGGGAAAAAATTAGGCTAATCTACATTCAATGAATTTTATTTCCGATTCGTTTGTTAGACACGAACATGAATAAAAAGTGACCAGATAGCAGTTTATTTGTCGATAAGGATGTTCTCGTTTTCTTTCATCTGACTTTCCAAATAGTCTTGATAGTGTACACTAGTCTAACGATGAAGAAAGAAAGATGAAAGAAAATGGATCACTCCTAGCAACAAATAACCTATGTATAACCACTTTTCATTTACGATCATAGCTAAAAATTGAAAACTCATTAAGTCTTGCTCTTTGTTTATAATCATTAAAGTAATTCAGAATATCTTTCACTAACTAGATTTTATTTGGCATGCTCGGAATAATATGCAATCACATGTTACAAAGTCTCAAGATCTCAATAATGATGATATAATGTAGATATCATCAAAGTCGTGAAATATTAAAATATCATTGTGAATATATATATTTTTTCACTAACAAACGAAGTATGTCATAAATCATTCTTTGGTGATTGATTAAAGCAATGATAGTTACTCTGCGAAGTCTGTTGAGACGATAGTTTGAACAGAAAATGCATAGTTTTAAGCACATGAAGAAAAGTCTCTTCGATAGTTAATCAGATGGCATTGAACAAGTTGCGGCCGATTCCTTTCTGATACAATTAGAAACCATTAGCTATCATCTTGTTCTAGAATCAATGTTTCTTGTTCGAAAATTTCTGAATTTTTCATACAGATTCAAACATACTTAAGTGATTGAAAATCAGTTCGTCTAATTGGGTATCTAATGAGTCGTCATCTTTTAAACTGTGTATAGTTATAAATTGTTCTCTCAATGGTGATACAATACAGACCGGTTGAAACTTGTCTTGTATCAAAAGTAAATAAGAATCATTATCACTAAAGTAAAGATCTTGTTTAGCATTGTTGAATGTTATTTTGATTAGAGGTTTTATCGGGCAATGGCTTACCTTCGATCTCTTTTATACTTTCAAGAAATAATGGTAACAATTTTCTGAGCGTATCAAAAAGTAAACATTAATTCAACATCGTTGCTTTTTATGTAAAGTATGAATTGTAGTATATACTTTAATATAGGAATGAAAATTTTCATTATTTCCGTAAGGTATAGGTTTATCAATTACATTGAAATCTTTTTTAATAACAAAATCAGATGAAGAATGTTGATATATTGAAATAATATAGAGAAGATTTAGTGCTGCAATATCAATCTCAATACTTTTGGTATGTCCTAATAATTTCGTCAAAACGTTTAAATTGAAGTTTCTCTCTTGCAATGTATAATACTTTTATTCGCCTATCTATATTTTTACTTCATTTTAATATGCTTGATGTGGTCATATATTCAAGATTTTATTTTTTAGAAAAAAAGTCTTTAGGAAATAGAAATGTGACAAAGTTTTGAAAGATAAAAGTTATGTTTGATATAAGTTGTTCCAATTAATAGAATATTAATTGAGTCTATGATTTTCAGAAGTTAAGACAAAAGTTAATATGTATTGAACGGCTGGCCACATGACGAACAAAATTTCGCCATGATATTTGGCCGTGGTTTTCCACAATGAGAACAAAATTCTGCAACCGATTGATGATAATATGGAGGAGGAGGCACATTATTGTCTTGTGGGAAAAATAATGCTGATTGAGGAGCAACTTGGTTGAATTGATACAATGAATGTCCACCTCCAGGTGCAACAGGATTTCCAATTTCAATCAGTAACTGAAAATAAAATGCTACATAAAGTAACATAAATGCACGAAATATTATTTTTAAGAGTTTTTTCATGTATAATGTACTCGAAATATTACGATGAAAAGCAAAGTACAACTTTTTTCATGTGTTCGCTTCAGATATTGACAAGAGCGGATCAATGATTTTTTTAAAAGAAGCAAATACTTACACGGTAAGCGAGTCTTCTTCTTCCATAATGTCCGTATCTTCCATTCCAAGTGCTGTAAGCATGCAATCGCCAACTACATGGTGGTGATCTCGTTGAATACTTCATCGATTCATTAGCAACTGCTTGGTGCATTCGAGCTGTCATTTTTGACTGTATAATACAACATCCAATTGATAAAATCAACATTCCAAAGCCGAACAAGCCAAACCCAATGCCGACTGTTATAGGAAATCCAGTTGAATAAGACGCCACACGTGTTATTCCTCCGATAATAAATAATATCATTCCACTAACTAAACATAAAATGGCAATGAGACCAATTATAATCATAGGTTTCCTTGAAGAGATTTGTTTATTAATATTTTCAATTGATTGCTGAAATTCATCTGGTCTTATTATTCCATTAAGATGAGCTGGATAGGTCGAATTAAATTCTGATTTTAAACATCCAGCTAAAACATTGAACCAATAGATATCAATGTAACAAATTTATATCAAATAGAAAAACACCAATGCTTACTCGAAATCAATGGTATAACAATTGAGTTTGGGTTAACAGAAGTAGCTATCATTTGTTTACATGTAAATGAATCTAAAACAAGAAAAATAGTTGCATTAATTGAATTTCTTGAAAATGAAATAAATACAGTAAAAAATCTTTTTTGAAATGCAAAATAGATTTGAAATTTATTGTACAATATTCCCATGTCGCCACTTTTTTAACAATTGCGTCGCAGTTGCGCGTAACTGCGAAATTTTGATCGTAACTGTGCGCAACTGCGACGCATTGATCGCAGTAAAAAATCCACGTGTTCGACTGCGACGCAGTTACGCGTAACAGCGAAAAAAATATCACAGTTGCGCGCAGTTATGGTAAAAAATTCGTAGTTACGCGTAACTGCGTCGCAGATTGATCGCAGTCGAACATATGGGTTTCATCACTCTTCTATACTCGTATTACCTATAGCAACATTAAATATAAAATATGATGTAGACAATATGACACAAATAGTACTAATATAGTTTTGACAGAAAAGAATAAAATCAATCGTATAAGTTCATTTTGTCTGCTGCTGTGCACTCAATAGAAATTTACAACGTTATGATTCTCAACTGTATATCCATTAAAACATTATTAGAAAAAACAACAAGAAAAAATAAAGATGGGCATTCATTTTTGATTGTCAAAATTCTACATGACTTCGAAGTCATCATGTTTTTCTCTTATGTATGATGATATACTTAAAAGAGCAAAATCGAAGCGCTCAAAACAAAATTTCTTGATGGTTTACTCAACGAAAAGAACGTCACGTACTCATCAGATTGCTATTTTCTATGGAAAACTCATTTCAGTCTAGAAAATAATGCGTTATAAGAAAGACATAAAAAGAAAGTAGTAAAACTAGAATATTTACTGATTTTCTTCCGTCTTTTTTCGTTATTATAGAAGAACAATTTGCTGGTTGCTTTTTTTGACAGAACAGATAAAAAATTGCGCTACGTATCCTATGGCATTGGGTGTCTATTTATTCTCACGCTGCTGGTTGCCAAGAAATAACATCCGAGAAGTGCAAAAAAAATGGTAGAAAACCAGAGCTTTTTTTGTTTTCTTTTTTTTTTGTTTTCTTTTGTTTTTTTTTTACAAATAATGGTTCTGAGTAGAGATCTGCGTAACCATTTCGTGGTGACCAACAAAAATAAAAATTCTTTGACAATAGTTTCCACGGTGCATGTGAAGAAATAATTCTGTTTGATTTGTTCTACTCAGAAATTTAAGCTCTTCAAAATGACACAAAAAAGTCGAGGATATAATGATCTACGATGGAGAAAACTGCGATACATTCATTCGTGACCAGAAAGCTTCGTGATCGGTGGTGACCAAAACTGGTCACGACAAATATGCCGCAGTTTTCTTCATCATGAATCATTATATTCTCGACTTTTTTGCGTCATTTTGAAGAGTTTAAAATTCTGAGTAGAAAAAATCAAACAGAATTATCTTTTCACATCCACCGTGGGAACTATTATCGAAGAATTTTTATTTTTGTTGGTCACGACGAAATGGTCATGCAAATCTCTTATTCTGAGGAAGTATAGTTATGTAATTGCGAGAAGATAATTCTTTCAGCATTTTTTTTTGTTTAGTTGTTTTTGATAATATCTCTTAAACAACACCAGACATGACTCATCATTCTCACATTTCGTTAATAAATTCATTTACCACTAGAAACACAACGTTTGTTTTTGATATATCTCTTCATTTTCGATACAATCTTTCCATTTTCAAGTGCAATTAACATCAAAGGAATATATGCAATGGATAAGTAGATGAATAACAAACGAGAAGTGCGAATGGAATCTTCGAGAATATTAATTTCCTTGTTTTCTTGCATTTTTTCATGATAGAAACCTCTGACACTAAGCATTTCATATGATAAAGCTCATCATTATAAAATTCTTTCCATCATCAATATATTTTCTAGTTCTATTTACTACAAAATCAATCATTTGTGTCCGAAGAACTAATATTTTGTAATTAATTATATGGAATTAGTTAGTTTATCAACATCACAATTTTTTATGCAATAAAGACAAGCAATAGAATGACTGACGTTCATTTTCTACACAAATTTCAGAAGCAATGTTTATTGTGTTGAGATGTGATGTCCTTTTCTTCTTCAATTATTAAGTAAAAAGGACACAAATAAGAGCATGATTTCGAAATTCTTTTGTTTTTTTATTGTTATTTTACTAAAAATTTTTTGTACATCTGTGATTAAACAGACAATCGATGAGAGAAGTAAAGAAGTTATCTTCATCAATATGTATTTTCTCAACGGTCGACAATGTTAATAGAGAACAATTGGAGAAAAAAAAAATGATAGTGAAAACGTTCATTAAACATCGTACAAGTCTCAAAGCCTCACTAGAGAATGTCAAAAAGAACAGAGATAAAATATTACCAAAAAGCTAAAGATATTATTTCACATATTTCAACTCATGCCGTCTTTGTTTCTTCAACGTACAATGGTCATCATATTTGAAGTATGGATTATCTGTAACTGACGATGAAGAAAAATCGAGGTTAACTGTTAACAGCTTTGAGGTAAAAAAAACAAAAAAAACTTAAATATAAGATAAAAAAAAGAAGAAATTTAGATATGTTATGTTGAAGCAGAAAACTTTATTAATAACAATACATGAGGTATCAGAACAACCTGTACGAAGAATTCCATCTCGTCAATGTCTGCTAAAATCATACAAAGTGATACTTCAAAGAGTGCTGGACGATATTCCCCAAAATCGAGAAATTGTTCCACTTATAGCAGAAATCCTTTATCCCACATAAAGTCAAGCAGAAACGCTTTTCATAGCGAAATACATTCCACTACTAAATGTTTTCGATTAGAAATGCATCAACCATATCTATGTTCACAAGGAAAAATGTACAAGTTATAAGGAGAAATCGATCAGATTATTCTTACATTATAGGGCGAAATGAATACAATTAGTTTTTCACTATAAGGAGAAATCCTAGTAGAAATGGATATTTTACAGAAGAAATACAAAATTTTTCAACAGAAATCGATAATCCATTTCTACCCTCATAAGAAGAAATGTATAAGATTATTTTTTATTTCAACATGAAGTTCTAGGAGAAATGAATGAACCGTTTCCATCCTTTTTAGCAGAAGTGCATAATAGACAAGGAGAAATGAAATATATATAGAACAACAAGGAGTCATCAATGCATATATATATATATAGTGCTTTTTCCATTTCTTCTTGTTATGCCTGACTTTTTATAGGGTAAAGCATTTCTCCTTGAAGTGGAACAATTTTCCGGATCGATTGGTACTGTTGTCCACTGCTAACTTCAAAAGTCTATATGAGAGTTATTAATAGTAATAGTACAAAAGCCGAGTATTTGTTCTAAAACAGACTTTAAGTACATCGGAAATATCTACACAGTTTACGTTTATGTAGCTAAAAAGATCTATGTAAGTGGATGAGCATGAGACATTTATTATCGAGATCCTATAAATGATATTCGTCGATGTGGAACTGAAATTTTATTTTAACTTGTCGTCAGATAAGTTTTTGAGACTAAGAAATAAAAGTATTAAAAGGCTTGATTGTTTTTATGACATATTAAAAATATTTGCTCATTTTAAACCTTTTTTGCTTTACTTTTCTTCTATATTTTGTTAAAAACATTTTCTCTACTTAAGATTTTGTTTATTAAGAAGATGTTTAATTGTTTTTGAAAAGAAAATGAAAAATTCTTCTTCTTTTTTCTTTTTGCTATATTTTCATTCTCATAGATACTTGATGATATTCTGCTTCAAGTTTTTTTCATTTCATATTATTACTTTATGTATTTGTACTCATTCTTAAAAGCTTCTCCAGATTGAGTAATTTACATAAGCAACATCAATATTGTATCTATTATATATTAGCAAGAAACAAAGATGAAGTATTGTTTTTGATATATAATTCTATTTTCACATAAATATAGTATTTTTACTACATAGAATTGAAATGTTGTCTACCTATCCATGTTCTTGTTATTTGAATGATTACACTAAAAATAACATCTTTAGTTAATTTCCGTTCAACTTTGATGAATATATTTGTCAATTCAATAAAACTTTCAAATATAATTATCGATATTAATCTAAGTATTGTATAGAGTCATAAGAAAGTGCTTCGTATTTTGTAATAGACAAGATACAAATAATCGATGATCGAGAATAAATGGTACTGTCAGTATATTGCCAATCCTTCTTTTAGTTTTCATAATTTCAAATTGAATGTTTTTCAAAAGATTCAAGCTTCAATTCTCCAGAAAACCATATCTGAATAGGCGTTACACTGGTAAAAGCCAATAATTTATTCAAGTGATACTACGAACATGCAACATCAACATATTTCAAGAACAAGATACTGTAACATTGTTCTAATGAGTTTTTATATCGAGCAATATGGGTAAATTTCGATAAATTAAACTAAAGATCTTGTCAAGTTACAAAAACTTTTAGAGGAATATATGGTACCATAAAATGAGTCTTCATTTTTTTCCAACAATTTGGAAAAAGAACGTTGTTTTATTTAAAGGTTTTTACGAACCAGAAACCTCATTCAACTCAGCCAAAAGTTATTTTTAAAACGAGATTCTTTTTACTCAAACTTCTATTGTATAATACCGTAGAGATCGATCTTACTTCTGATCCATTGTCATTTCTTATTGACTAGACTCAAATAGAAAGTTCGATTATGTCAAGCACAGACAAGATATCTTGAGAATGGATTTACTATTAATATGTTTTGCTAAATTATTCTTCCTCATGTTTCAATAGTAGATAGAGTGCACATGAGGGCATCCAAGAGCCTTAGTTTGAGACTTTTGAGTTGTGTTTTATTAGTAGGAATAATCGAAAATTAATCGAAATAAAAGCTTTTGAAAGTTTCTGATTATGAATGTTCGTAAACTCCCCCCCAGAATAGAAGGCCACCCCATATTAGAAGGCCACCCCCATTAGAAGGCCACCCTGAGACATATCTGCAAAAGTCATATTAGAAGGCCACGACTTTCTAATAAAATGTTTGGATATTACATACATATGCGGTGGGA